CATGTTGGTAGATGCAGACTACTTGGTTGAGGTCCGCGTGACTATCGTAACCAATGGTTGGAGACTCTTGGTGACATGGCTCAGAATCGATCACAATGGTATAGGTGTATACACTCTCTGTCTTCCCTTAAACTACAAGATTAAAATCACTTCATATCTTTCTTTCTACGAACTAATTCTTTCTCTCTGTACTATATCCATCCTTATGTTCAATCTTTCTTTTATACATTACTACTATTGAATTAACTACTTCCATGAATTTGGTGTTCATCTTGTTGTGCTAATGATATGTGGAGACTTGTACCGATGCATATATATGCCTGTTCCTACGTTGTAGCTGACTGACTGACTAATTAACTTGGATTCTGTACAATGACTACAACTAGTTCATGAAGATACTGATTGGAATAGTTCAAAATCTGTTATAATGACTCAGATGCATTCACTGAATATTTCACATTAGATTTGCTTTCATGTATGACATTTTCATTTTGTACTATCGAACCATATTTGTCTTTTAACTTTTAGACCTTCTCAATATCTTTATTATTGAATCTTATTGATTTGATCATGTTGTTACCCTAATATAGTGTGTTATTATTAAACTAATGCATATTTTCACCAATCTGTACATTGATTAATCACTAACTAATTTGAGTTTTATGAATATTTGTGGAACTTGTAAATAATGTTTGCTTGTTTGTTCTTTTACTTATCGATTTAAGTCTATGATGAGAGAAATTTCCTTGAGAATCCTGTTAGTTGATCATTAATTATGAGATGATAGAGTATATTTGTAGTTCAGAATAAGAATGTTGTAGGGGTTATGATCATTGAACTGGATAGTTTCGTTATGAAGCAGTCAGTCAGTCAGTCAGTCAGATACAACGTAGGATCAGGCACATTTATATGCATCGGTCAAAGTTCTCACACCTCATTAGCTCAACAAGATGAACACCGGATTCATAGAAGTAATTAATTTAGTGGTGGTAATGTATAAAAGAAAAATTGTGTATGAGGAAATAGTGTGTGTGCTACTTATATTGACATAAGTAGTATATGATGTTAGTCGTGAACAGAAGGTCTGGCAGCAAAGAGACAAGAGGATCGAACAGTAAACAATGGAAACAGGATGCAATTTGTATGAAAATGCAAGAACAATGAAGTCTGAGTCATTATGAGACAATTGATGGACATTTTGCAAATTAAGCATTTACTTTACGATTGTTAGATTTTATGAACAAGTCCTGTAATTTTGTGTTAAATACATTCGACTGTTCCCACTGGTGTTCTTGTTCACTACAATAGTAAAGGAAGAAGGCATTAGTTCGTAGAAAGAAAGTTATAAAGCGATTTTAATTTCTTACTTTAAAGGGAGACAGAGGGTGTATACACCGACGCCATTGTGATCGACTCTGAGCCATGTCACCAAGAGTCTCCAACCATTGGTCAAGATGGTCACGCGGACCCCAACCAAGTAGTCTGCATCTACCATGACTCAGACGAGAAGTTAGTAACTTCAATGACTGATGCCATGTTATGTTTTAGCCGCCCCTAACTTTCTCCCAACATTCCAAACACTAATCAGCATTGCACGTCGTGGTAATTGGTGTTCAGGCATACGCAACACGTGGCCCAACCATCTCAGTCGATAAAGATTCACAACCTCATCAACTGATTTACCATCATCATTCCCTAATACCCTGTTTCTAACCTCACTATTATTTACCCGGTAATCCCATCAGATGTGAGCAATATTTCTAAGACATCTGTGATCAATTACTAGTAGCTTACGAGTGGAGCACTCATTGTTTGTAAGTTTATTTGGTTTAGTTTCTTTCCTGACTTGATTTTTGGCATTGCAGTTGCTAATCCTTTTACTTAATGACTAATGAATCTGATTGATTTCGATTTATTGATTAAATGATGCTTCGTTGGAGTTAACAAGACAAGATGTTAGTTAGTTAGTTAGTTATGAAGAAATATTAGTAATTCACTTCTCTTTGATGTACGTACTGATGATATTGTTAAAAAGAACAATCAAAACTTTAGAACCAAACTATCCAGTTCACCACAACATTTCCAACAGTCTCATCCTGAGCTATAAATATTCTCCATCACGGAAAAATTGACGGATTCTGTGTCATATTATGATTGGATGATTGCTTACTACACTGCTTAATGTAGCATGATTCCAGAAGTTTCCAGAGTACAACATTTATTAATACATCCACAAATTTATTATTTGAATTCATGAGTCGATTAAAGCTAAACCACCTAGGAAAACCTGAAAGCACTGAACGGCCGTCTCGAACTAAAAACCATAAGCCTTGCGCGAGAACTTTTAACCTCTAGACCACTGAGCCGGTATCCGATGGTGTTAATGTTTTACTGCAACCGATCCATGATCCATGAGACAGGTATCTACCTCAGACAATGAATGAATGGTTGCGCAAGATGATCGTCAATCTTTTTTTTCAGTTTTTAATTTTTAATATACAAATGAACTGTAGACAACCTTGAAGAATTCTTAGTCAGATTTTAATTAGTCTGAATAAAGCTTTTGTAAATAGAAGAGAAAACAATAATCTTACAAAGTGTTAACAGATTTTATTTAACTAATGAATCATCTCAAGTCTTCTACAAGTTATTCTACCTGTATATCGTAAAAATAGTTATCTAGATTCATTTCAATGAATAAAGATTTCCGAATTTCACGAACGCTTTTAAGAATCTGACTAGATTTCTAAGACTCCCGCACAATGTTCTCAGTTAGGATTCGCTATTTAAGATAGAAATCAAAAGTATAACGTAGGAGTTTACATCACTCAGTCAGTCAGTTACTCAGCAAGAACGTAGAACTTCGTACGTCAGTCAGTCAGTCAGTCAGCTACAACGTAGGACCAGGCACATATGTGCATCGGTCCAGGTTGCCATACCTCATTAGCACAGCAAGATGAACAGCGGATTCATAGGAGTGGTTAGGTCAAAGGTTGCAATAAGGATATAGTATAGGAAGAAAGAATTAGTTCGTAGACAGAAAGAATGAAGTGATTTTAATCTTGTAGTTTAAGGGAAGACAGGGAGTGTATACACCTATACCATTGTGATCGATTCTGAGCCATGTCACCAAGAGTCTCCAACCATTGGTTACGAAAGTCACGCGGACCTCAACCAAGTAGTCTGCATCTACCAACATGGCTCAGACTACAAGTTAGTGACTTCAGGCACTGATGCCACGTTTTGGTTTGGCCGCCCCTAACTTTCTTCCAACCATCCCCTACCCCGGTTAGCATTGCACGTCGTGGTAATCGGTGTTCAGGCATACGTAATACGTGGCCCAACCATCTCAGTCGATGAAGATTCACAACCTCATCAACTGATTTACCATCATTCCCTAATACCCTGCGTCTAACCTCACTATTACTTACCCGGTGATCCCAGCAGATGCCAGCAATATTTTTAAGGCATCTGTGGTCAAATACTAGTAACTTACGGGTGTCTTCTACTCTTAAAGGCCATGTTTCGCTGCCGTAAATTAAAACAGAACGAACTGCCGCGCAGTATACTCGTCCTTTTATTGATAGACGGATATCTCGCCTTCTCCACAGGTGACGTAAGTTGGCAAAAGCCAAACAAGCTTTTCGAATCCGTGCTGAGATTTCGTCAGACACCAACCCATTAGGGCTGATCAAACTTCCAAGATAAGTGAAGTTGTCAACGCGTTCAACTACCTCTAACAGCACTGAAGAACTTCGTACGTACGTACATCAGTTCGAGTTGCCACACCACATTAGCACAGAGATGCAGTTGTCCATTCAAATCCCATAGTCGTAGAAGTAGTAAAAGTATAAACAGTCATCGAAAACATTAGGTTTTGAAGATGTTACTCAAGGAGTATAATCCAGTGAAATAAATTTAGAAAGAGAAAAAAAGAAACAAGCAGAATTCAGGAGATTAGAATTTGGGAGAACACAAAAAGTGAATGCACCTGCGCCATTTCAAATGCTTTTGAGCCATGTCATTTAATGTCTCTAACCATCGGCTGCTATCATCTCGCGGTCCCCAACCAGGTAGTCTACACCTACCAACATGGCTCGGTCTACTTGTCAGTGACTTCATGGATTTTTGCTATGTTTTGATCTGGCAGCCCCTGGCTTTCTTCCAACCTACTCCTACACCATAAAACATCACTCGTTGGGACAGTCAGTGGTTGGGCATACATAACACATATCCCGGTCATCTAAACTGATTGGGTCTCACTACTTCATCAATCGATTCGCCATCTTTACCTATTACCCATTTCCTAACAACTGCATTACTTACTCGATGGTCCCAGGATATACGAGCAATATTTCGAAGACACCTATGATCAAATACTAGTAACCTACGAATATCCTTTACTCTTACCGGCCATGTTTCACTGCCATGAAGTTGGACGGAACGAACTGCTGTGCAGTAAACACGTCATTTGGTTGATAGACGGATATCTCTCCTACGCCATAAATGACGCAAGTTGGTAAAAGCTAGTCGAGCCTTCTGTATCCATGCTGAGATTTCGTCACACACCAGACCACAAAGTCAATGAGACTCCCAAGATGAGTGAAGCGGTTGACACGCTCAACTACTTCACTCCCTATCATTAGTTCGGGTGTCGATGTAACCCAATCCTGAAGCAACATTATGAATTTCGAGGGAGAGGATCGCATCCCGAACATGCTTGCATTGTTGCTTAGAGTGGTCAAAAGGTCCTGCATTTTGTCACTAACAGACCTCAGCCACTACACAAAAATTTATATAACCATAAGAATGAATGGTTTTAGATCAAAAACCTAACAGGAATTGAGAAATACACAAAGGTATTTTTACAGCTCATTCTATGTAAGTTTTTAAGCTTGCGCAATTATGTAAAAATTCTTTTCACGATTCTGATTTGCTCAACCCTATACTATACATTTACATATATATATACATATACTTATTTTGTTTTACCGGGCTAGATGAATCGACTAATTTGAATAGTAATAACAACAATAAACAAGTATTATTGGATGATAATCAAAAATTAGAAACACTCCCAGTTAATACATCAATAAAAAGTCATCGAGGTAAACGTGAGATGAATAGTTCAACCACAAATGGAATTGTACCTAAAACTAATAGACGGAAGAAAAAGTAAGCTTTATTGTTATTATTATTATTATAGTATTGCATAGAATGATATTTGGAATAAACTAAGATGAATTTCCAAGATTTCCATTACATCTGTGTCATAATCCCGATGAGAATTATAACTGTCGGAATCTATTTATGGACCATTACGATACGTATATTTTTTATTGTATAGTTGTTATGTAACTAAACTATGTATAATCATATCCCTCTGATTATAAGCTTTATTTTGACTTATAGACTGTTATTATACGATTTACCATTCTTGAGTTATGCTCAGTCTATTGATTATAGTCTCCTACATTCACAGCCACATTTGACTAAATCTTGTACAAATGTGTACTTTCTATTTTGTGGTACAATGTGGTCTGTCTGGTTGGTACATAAACCCAGTTTGTTTAAAATAAACGGCTCATATCACAGAGGCTGAGATTAGTGTTCTGGACTCAACAAGACGGGAAGAAGGACTGATAATGACTGTAGACTGCTCGTAGGGGTTTCTGCGTATGGGTCCGGTTGATGAGTTACTGTTCTCTAATTGGCGGTATCATTACGTCATATAGGGCAAAAGGCCACAAATTATATCAATCTCCTTAACTTTCCAATAAATTTGTTGAATACAACTTTGTAGGTGATTCATAATTTTCTGTAAATCAATTTACGATCATGAAAACGATCTGTATGATGCTGTAGTGAAATATTGATTAAAGTTGAAAGACTGATATGACTTTTTAATAAAACAATCAATAAGGTGGATTGGTTGAAGTTGGACATTAACATCTTTGAATGCCGGCTCAATGATCTAGTGATTAACCGCTCTCCCGCCAAACCCGTAGGTCCTGGTTCGAATCTCGCAGGGAGAGATCTTGGATGCACACTGCTGAGGAGTCCCATAGCAGGACGAAACGGCCGTCCAGCGCTTCCAAATCTTCCATAGTTGATTATCTCTAACTGACTCATGAATCTAACTATTAAATTAATAAGTTATCTAAATCACTGTAATCTTACAGGTTTCATTAATTTTAAACTGAAATACACTTGTACAGATTTCCTTCTCATTTTCTGGATAGTGGTTTTAACATTATAAGGTCATTCTCAGCATCACCTATGGTCGAAGGTAAAATGCCGTTACATTGTAGAAGAGTAGTATGGTGTATTTGTTGGGGAAATCCAGTAAATTCCTCGGAAAAGGCCAAAAAGTCTCTGAAAATGTTGAGAAACACCTTATCCAATCAGCATTCAATAAAAGTTTTGCCAGAAACATCTAGAAAGTGTAAAATGACATGTCGAGTTTCTGAAGGGATAATTACCTATTCTGCTACTGTGTTTAATAGCGTTCCAGAAACTTCCGGAAGCTCAAGACCATTTAAAATGCCATAAATACCCTGGATTTTCTGCACATAAACATACCTTAGAATAAAGCTTTCTTTTCATATTTCGCACCTTTTCTCTCGTGTTTAAGTCGCTGTGTAGATTTAGTCTGAGAGTTACTAAAGAGCTTAAGAAACCGAATCTAGAGTTCAATTAGAAGACTTATCAATACTGAACAAGGTTTAGACTACTCTTACATGAAAAATTTGAGTAGAGTCTTATCTCCCCATCTTAATACAGTCAAATGATTTAGCCACAGATGTTTGTTTTAACCCATTACGTCAAGCTAAGTCAGTAGGACCACATGCAGTTTCAACGCAACGGAGTAAGCAAGATATAAATATGAGGCAGACTACTTTGAATAAGTAAATGCTTCACCTTTAGTGAAAATCACTGTTCAGTTGTTTCTTTTTGTCAGTTTATAGACCTATGAATATGCATTAGCTGTAAAACGTTGTTATTTGGCATTTACCAATGAAATTTCTTGTATGTGATGGTTTGTCTTCTGATAACACAGATGATTCAGAATAATCTTCTCTCTCTCTCTCTCTCTCTCTCTCTCTCTCTCTCTCTCTCTCTCTCTCTCTCTCTCTCTCTCTCTGCGGTATACTGCACTAATATTGGTGATATCATAATAAAACTGTACAGGCTGACCGAGTTTGTAATACCGCTAGATTGAATACTCGAACAGTACATAATACAGAGACTAGAACCCGTCATATCAGATATACGATTCACGATCAAGAATAGAGAAACCACAGTGACTCTTGACAATTCTTTATTCTACATAACTACAAGCAGTGACTGCTAATGAGTCCGGAGTAGAAATCAATGAGAGGACATGATACTTTATTAATATAATAATTGGATTAGTTGTAAAAATTACCGACATGAATTTATGCTTAGACTCAGCATTCTCTTACATACATGATGTCCCCAGACATAACCGACTACTTCCTGACTAATTAGGTGAAACTGTATCAAAGAAATAGTTGTATCATTTACACAAAAAATATCCAACCGAAATAATGGTATATAAAGGTAGAATAAAAAACATTTTCTGTTTGACACAATATATCACTATTATACGACCGGTGATCGAAATCATACTACCACTAGACTAGATACTCGATCAAAACATTATACCCAAACTGGATCACGTTATAACCAACACACGATTTATCAATAAAATGGGAAACCAGAGTATAGGACAGATAACAGGTGACCTTTGAGCGACGTTAAAGTAATGTTGAGAATGTCCACCTACTTACTGAGGTTAAATAAAAGTTAGAAACCTGTGTTGAATAATAAAGATTATGATTTACAGTTGATGGTTAAGGTGAGTAATTAGATTTAGAGTTTTCATCACGAACTGATATCAGCTAAAATGCTGTTTAACCAAATGGATAAATGAATTTCGCGCTGAAATCCAAGACCTGTCATCTTATATCTGATTGGTTCATCCATAATTTATAATGTCACATCCATAATACTTTACTCATCATTTGATTTATGTAAGGGCTAGGATACTGCCGAGGAGCTCAAACCCAAGTAAATCAAGTGATGAAGTGTGGCACATATACATTTGGTACCCCCTTGCACTAATGTCTATGTACTTAAATAAATAAATACTTTACTCAGGATGATTGCAAGCAATTCAGTGTAGGAAACAATAACTAGAAGGTAATCACTTATTCAATAATCAATAAGCAAAGTGTCTGTTTGTTCACGCTTACTGTTCATTCACATTTTAATTTTCCTCACCACAGATCAATATGACAAAACAAAAATTCCTGAAAGTAACCCAATACTACTTTATTAGTATCAAGCATATCTATCATAATGATTACACTTTAACTGTATTGTCACTGGAACAACCTATTGAATAGAAAATATATATAATGAATTTAAAGAATTTCAAGGGTCGGTTAAATTAAGGTTCTTTGAAATTCTTAAATGAAGGGAATAAAAGACGTGATAAACTTGAACCGATGCACATTTATTCTAGATCTTAAGGTTGTTTATAACTGATTATATATTATTATTAATGGCTTTATTCATTATTATATAGTTGGTACAATATAGAATTCTCTGTACAGAGTACTTCAACAAGTTTCCATTTCTTGTTTCTTGATTGATCCTGACGAGAAATATTGAGTAAATACCAGTTAGAAGTTAGCGGTCCAGTCAATGGACATCAGAATAATGTACATCCTTTTCGTTACAACCACGATAACTCTGATTGGGCCTTTTGTAACGTATACGACGACAAGTCGTACATTTTTCAGAAACACACCTGAATAGGTTATGCTATTAATAGCCATAATGATATATTAAAACTGTTATATCCGAGCGAAGATTAAATCACGAGTAACTTATACTGAGACGTATTCATTGACTAATATTATCTACACATTCTTATGGTATAATTATTCAATAATTAGATTATGTATATTTATATTCCTCTTATTATAAGGTTTATTTTGACCTTGTTGGGATATTCAGGAAAATATCCCAAAAATTATCCTGTTAAGCCTAATGCTATCCTTGGACATGAAATGGTATCATCTTATTGGTCAATATTCATTTAACGTGTCATTTTCCTACTGGCCATTATTGTACAATGTTATTTTCTATTTTATGGTACGTTGTGGTCTGCTTGACTGGTATATAAACAAAGTATGTTTGAAATATAATGATTCATATATCCGAGGCTGTGACTTGTGTTCTGGACTTAACTGGCTAGGCTAGGCGGAAAGCAGGGTCAGTCAGAACTCTAGGTCCTTCTACGTGTTTGCGCGTCTTAGGTCCGATCAATAATTCGCAACCCCTTAATCAGTAGCGTTTCCACGTTATAACAGACCTATATATTATTATTGTACGATTTACTGTTCTTAAGCTATGTTCAGTTTATTAACTACTGCCTCTCACGTTTACAGCCACTTTTTGGCTTTATTGTTTACAAATGTTATTTCTTATTTTATGGTGCGTTGCGAGCTGTTTGACTGATATATAAACCCAGTATGTCTGAAATAAATGATTCGATTCGCATAGTGGAAGCTGGTATTGTTCACAATTGATTGATCACTGGGTGGTGATCAATGGCATGTGTGTCAAGTCCTTATTTAGTGTAGATAGAATGCTATCGACCATGTTGCCACCAGTCTAGGTGACTCGACACTGCGTGCACTAATTTGAGATTACATGATGGTTGGAGGTAGTCCACAGGAAAACCTGGACCCGGGTTTCGTGCTACTTGGCGCTCGTCAGCAAGGTGTACCTGTAATCTGGAGGGAACTGGTGCCCCCTAGCGGATTCGATCGCGTGTCGGTCGCGGCCCGGATAGCTCAGTGGTAACGTCTCTGACTATGAAGCTGGGTGACACGGGATCGAATCCGCCAGGGAGCATCATTTCCCTCAAGATTACAGGTACACCTTGCTGACGAGTACCAAGTAGCACGAAACCCGGGTCCAGGGTTTCCTGTGGACTACCTCCAACCACCATCTAAGCTGGTATTGGTGTTCTGAACTCAAGTGGACGGGTTAGGCGGACATAAGATCAATAAAGACGCTAAGCTATCCATACCGGTCGAACGTCATTGGTTTGTCAAAGTGCCAAGATTGTATAACAAACAAAATTAGATAACTTGTCAAAATATCTATATGGCAAAGATGTTCAAGCAGCCCACTATTTTTAGACTCAATGATCTTCTAGATTTTCAATGATGGTCTAACTTCGATTAATTCATGAATTCAAATATTAAAATTACTGCAATCTTCAAAACTATCCCTATTTGTTTTAAAACTTTGATATTTCACAGTAATTAAAGCAATTAATCCCTTTTACAAATTTCAATAAAGCGATTAGAAGACAGAGTTAATCTAGAAACAGATATGAAATGTTTATGCGATATATTTCAAACAATCTGGTCACATATATACTTACATGGAAATTAATGAAGGTCAATTAAAATGACTTCAGTATTCCCAGGGTAAATTCAAAGTTACAACAAACTGTTTTTGTACATCTAAGGGGGGGTTGGTTTAAATTTACAAATGGCTTAGGCTTCAATATAAACCTCAGAATTCGTCCTCGACAATTTCTGTGTAACATTTTAAACGATGTATTGATGTTAATTCTTTTTTTACCCCGTTTCAATGATATGTCTCGCTATTGATGAACATGATTGTCTACATCCCACATTGATCGAAACACTTGACACTAACTGATTTTGGAGACATCTAGGGATATGTTCGATGACCTTTGATTGTATTGTTGGATTATTCCCTCTTATGTATGTGTCCACACAAACATGTAAAATCGTTATGATGGCGATATTCACTGAGGTCACCATGTAAGTGTTAGCTCATTAAGAATAAATGTGAATGGGTAACGAAATGTTTATTATGAAGAACAGACGGATGATTGTATGTAAGTCTCTAGAGTCATTTATATCCACCAGGATCATTTATGTACACAGTTATTCCAGGTATAATGTATTCACTAATTAAAAGTGTAATTATATACTTTCTAAAAGTAACCATTTGACAATGATCTATCTTAAATATCAAACATGATAATTAGAAAGCATACTACTTAACCATTCTTCCTTAATACTCGTTTCTCTATCACACTTTTACATTCTGAAGATACTTTCACCTATTTCTACAACTTTTCAATACATTCAAACCTAAAGATATCAAAGCGTACTCCTCAACAGTAATGGTGCCATTGCACAGAAATCACTTTGGTTACATTCATATAAAAAGACAAACTGTAACATCTTTTTATCTCAAATTAAGCCTAGAAGAATAGAAACATCAATCTGTTCTAATGGATTATTTTTAACTAGCAAGAATGACATCTTAAAACGTACCCATCTTGTTTCTTCTCACAAGCATTCATATTCACCTGTTTACTTACTTACTTACTTACTTACGCCTGTTACTCCTAATGGAGCATAGGCCGCCGACCAGCATTCTTCAACCCACTCTGTCCTGGGCCTTCTTTTCTAGTTCCATCCAATTCTTGTTCATTCTTCTCATGTCTATCTCCATTTCTCGGCGTAATGTGTTCTTTGGTCTTCCTATTCTCCTTTGGCCTTGAGGATTCCATGTGAGGGCTTGTCTTGTGACGCACTTGGGTGCTTTCCTCAATCTGTGTCCTATCAACTTCCAGCACTTCTTCCTGATTTCTTCCTCCGCTGGGATGTGGTTTGTTCTCTCCCACAGTACGTTGTTGCTAATAGTGTCTGGCCAATGGATCTGAAGTATTTTGCGTAGACAATTGTTAAGAAACACCTGTATTTTCTGGATGATGGCTTTCGTAGTTCTCCAGGTCTCTGCCCCATACAGTAGAACTGTCTTGACATTTGTATTGAAAATCCTGACCTTGGTGTTTGTTGACAGTTGCTTTGAGTTCGAGATGTTCCTCAGTTGTAAATATGCTGCTCTTGCTTTGCCGATCCGCGCTTTCACATCTGCATCAGATCCACCCTGTTCATCAATGATGCTGCCCAAATACGTAAAGGTTTTTACATCTTCCAAATCTTCTCCGTTTACTTGTTATAAATTGTAACCGCCGATTAGAGGGCAGTGAATTATCGATCGGACCAAGGAGGCGTAAAACATGTACGAGCAGCCTAGAGTCCTGATTAGTCCTGCTTTCCGTCTAGCCCAGCTTGTTAAGTCCAGAACACCAATCTCAGCCTCTGCAATATGAATCATTTATTTCAAACATACTGGGTTTATATGCGAACCAAACAGACCACATCGTACCATAAAATACAGAAAATACACATTTGTACAAGATTTAGCCAAATGTGACTGTGGGAAGTAGTGATTATTAGACAGGGAATAATTCAAGAACTGTAAATCGTATAATAACAGTTCATAGGTTAAAATAAAGCTTATGATAAGAGAGACATGAATATGAATAGTTTAGTTAATAAATAATTATACGATAAAAATATACGTATGGTATTTGGTCCACTAATGGATCCCAAAAATTACCATTCATTATTCTTACGCGACACAACATTATAATGCACATCGTATGAATGGTTTCATTCATCCATAGCGTTGTCGGTGCCAAGTAATGACATCTTCATTAAAATAAGGAATTAGTTTGTTAATCGTCAGGACTTTCAAATAAAAAAAACAATCGGACATAAACTGAAATTCATTTCCTCTACTTTAATTGGTTCGTCTGTATACTATACTTTCATTGTATTCATATAAACGTATCCGTCTCATTGCCCCCAAATGATCTGGTATGGCCGAGAGTGGGGACAGTCCGCTCTCCCTCTCGAAATGCTCTCACATGGCCACGCGTATATAGCCTCTGCCGGGGAAGTTCTACTCACTACCTTCTCGCATCACGGATGCTGTTTACGAAACTGAGAGAAGGAAAACCGAATGTCCGGCGATTTAACCGGGTTAGTGGACATAAAGAGTTCACTTAGGGGAGTTGTAACACCCTTATTTCAAACAAATAATTCCCATGGGCTCCAGTACCTTAAAGCAACAAATGGCATGTGAATCAATCGTTGATCACCGGCTACCATGGGACTGCATCTCGTGACGTTGCTCCACTGCCTTGTGAATCAGACCTTTAGGTTGAAGGCTCCGGGTGTGGCCCCTTTAGAAAACCACCTGCTTCGGTTTGGGCACCCGGGTAGTTTCACAACGTTCACACAAATAAAATAAGACTTATATAGTGCATATGTATTTGATACCTCCTTGTACCAATATCTATGTGTTCAAATAATTAAATCCGTTTCATTCATGTTACTTTATATTGATTGTTGAGTTGTTTTTTTGTCTCTTCTATTTATTTGTTCAAGTATACCACATGCAACTACAAATAAGACAGTTGTAAAACATAATCGACCTCAAGCATATTATGATGTATTCGGTAAAGATGTAACATCTTTAGGAGATTCTGTTGAAATTTCTAATTCAAATATGAAACAAATCAATATTGAACAAGTAACATATGTTGGTCGTATTCAAAAAATATGCCGTGAAAATCTTCATAATGCATTACATTTATCTGAAGTAATAATCATATTAATTGTTTATTTCATTAAAACTTTGAATAAGTTGCATTACGAAATAAATAGTATAGTTGAATTCATAAGTCAATTGAATCTAGGCCATCATCGAAAACCTGGAGGCAATGAACGGCTGTTTCGTTCTAGTATAGGACTCCTCAGAAATGAGCATCCGCGATCCCACCTCGCTCAATTCAAACCCAGGACCTATTGGTCTCGTGCACGAACGCTTAACGTCTAGACCATTGAGCCAGTATCCAACCGTGTTAATGTCTAGCTTCAAACAATCCACGAAATCGCACCACAGCCCACCATTGTCGTGGTTGCGCACTGCTGAGGAGTTCCATACTGGGACGAAACGACCATCCAATTCTTTCAGTTTTTCCATAGTGGTCTAGCTTCGATCGACTGATGAATTCAACCATTAAATTACTATAATATCCACAAAGACCTCTTTCTGATTATAAATGATTTTATAAATACAAAAAACGACAAAACTATCATTTAACGAAAATTTACGGTAGATATTGTTGTGAATTAAGTCTATTGACCAGTATGACATGGTAAAGTCATAAGTCAGAATTCTAATTCTCATTCTGTCTATTTCGTATTTATTATTTCTTCTATAGTCTTGTGTTCCAAACTTAATGAATGATATATCTGACTAGTATCGTTGACTTTAAGTAGACTTTGATAAATTCCTATCAATCCGCTATTTACTAGCTTTCCTCAGTGCCTTGATTTGAGTCTGGAAAGTCAAAGTCCAATTTCTATTGTCATTATATGTCAAACACACATCTCTCTATACACAAGCATACTGGATCACATTACACAATAGCGTGAAAAATAACCATTATGAATAAACAAGCCAAAAGTGACTATGAGTAGAGCAAACAATAAATGATCGATTGACAAATAAATAGAACTAATAAGTAGATCAAGAATAGCTAATACGCTAAATAAAAGCTTATGATGATCTAAATAAATATGCACAACAATTCAGTGACTGAGTAGCTTATTTATTATTATTATTTATTTGAACACATAAATATTGGTACAAGAGAGCGCCAATATATATGCGCCACACAAAACAATGAGAATTCGAAGAGAAGTAGAAAAAAAAACTAAGGAGCGCAAAAGAAAAAGAGAACAATGACGAAGAGATTGGAGTAAGGTAGTGTGGTAGTAACGAGGGAACGCAAAGGTACAATCGGAAGAAATCTTTCAGGTAAGGGAGACACAACCACTTTTTATGAAGAAAGTAAAAGAAGATTACAGCAGGATCGCCACTGGCTTCTATTCTGAGCCATATCTAATAACGTCTCTAGCCACTGTGTAGCACCATCTCTCAGACCCCAGCGAGGGAGTCGTGAAGGACCAACAGAAACCAGCCCTTTGCAGCTTTCTTTCATACCATGACATCATGTCATACACTGACCACCTGTGCTCTTTCCAACCAGTCCCAGAGTCGGCACATAATGCACGACGTGGAATTCTCTGGGACGACATTCGGAGAACATGTCCAAGCCACCGAAGTCGATGTTTCAAGATGCTGACACCAATTGGATTATCGTCTCTGCGTCCGAACACACGATGCCGAACCTCTGCATTACTGACATGGTGTTGCCACTGAATGACAGCAATCCTCCGGAGACAACGATGATCAAACACAGAGAGTCGTCTAACATCCTCAACTCAGAGAGTCCAGGTTTCACAAACATAGAGCAAAACTGCTCTCACCGACGCGTTGTAGACCCGACCTGTTACAGCCAGACTAACATCATGAAGGCGCCAAAGATGGCCCAGATTGGCATAAGCCGCTCTGGCTTTCACTATACGTGCATTGATCTCATCGCTCACACCACCACCAGCACTTATGCAGCTACCTAGATACACGGACTTCTCGAATACTTCTATCTGCTCACCATCCAGGGTGAGTGCAGGATTAGGATTCTGCCAGTCTTGTAGAAGTACTTTGCACTTCGAAGGTGCAAAGCACATACCATACATACGGACACTGATTGCCAACTGATTAAGTGCGGATTGCATGCCTTGGGCACTATCGCACAGTAAGACAATATCATCCGCATACTCAAGGTCGAGAAGTCTTTCTCCAGGCAACAGATTCACACCGGCATTACTTACATTTATCAGAGCTGTTTCCAGAATGTCGTCGATGGCAAAGTTGAAGAGAAATGGTGAGATTGGGCAACCCTGTCTAACCCCACTGCTCGAATGGAACAATGGAGAGAGGTGGTTGTATGCCCTCACTCTGCCTGAGGTGTTTTTATATAGGGCTTTTAGGATGTTAATAAACTTCTCAGGCACACCCTTCTTCAATAGACAATCCCAGAGAACAGTCCTATCCAACGAATTGAAGGCAGCCCTGATGTCAAGAAACACTACGATTGTTGGCCTTTGATAAGTATGGCGGTGTTCTAACATTTGGCGGAGGGTGAAGATATGATCAATACATCCTCGACCAGAACGAAACCCAGCCTGCTCCTCGCGAGTCAATCTTTCTCGGGTTTTGAACAACCTACGAAATATGACGGAAGCCAATAGCTTGGACGCAATCGGAAGTAAACTTATCCCCCGATAGTTGTTACAGGAAGGACGTGAACCCTTTTTAAAGATAGGGACAACTATCGACTCATTCCATGACGTTGGTACACTCTCTAGTTCCCAAACCTTTGTAAACAACGTCGTCAATTCCTTAGTCAAAAAGTCACCACCATCTTTAAAAAGAGCCGGAGGTAAGTCATCTGGGCCAGGTGATTTGTAACGCTTCAAGAGTTGGAGTTCCTTGCGGACTTCCTCCTCGTTTGGTGGATCAGTCGTCACCGGCCATGGAGGGCAGGACAGTCTGACCGATGTTGCCGGAGCAGCAGGCCAGTTGAACTGCCCTTCGAAGAATTCTGCCCATCGTCCAAGACGTCGATGGATGTTAGTGATTGGCATCCCATCATCCTCGCAGATTGTTTCACTCACACCAGACTTCTTGCTGCCAGTGGCTCGGATGAGTTGGAAGAGCTTCCGGTAGTTACCAGATGCAGCTGCTGCTTCCAGCTCATTAGCACGCTTCGACCACCAGGCTTCTCGGTCCTTATGCAAGCTTTGCCCAATTTCCTTACGTAACATCCTTCGTTTATGGTCAAACTCACGGTCACCCGAAGTAGACCGACGGGCTTCAATGAGTTGTAAGGAACCTGCAGAAACCCAGTCCTTATAAGCGGGACGTTTCGCGAACCCACAACTGACTGTTCCCGCCATTTTCATGGCGTCATGCAATTGCAACCAATGCTCATCTATACTTTTAGGTGGAGTGGTAGCTAGCCTAGAGGCTAGCTCGGTTCGGTACTTACTTGCAACAGAAGTTGCAACCAGCTTGCTAACATCAATCTTTTGGTGGTGGTCACTTCGTTGGCCACTAAAAAGTAAGGCAAGATTGGCGCAGACCAAGGCATGGTCAGAGTCCAGGTAGGTACTCGCGTGCAAGACCGATAGGTCCTGGGTTCGAATCTCGAAGGGAGAGGTTGTGGATTCGGACTACTGAAGAGTCCCATACTAGGACGAAACGGCCGTCCAGTGCTTCCACGTTTTTCATTGTGGTCTAGCTTCAATTGACTCATAATCTCAACTGGTAAAATTACTAGGATATCCACAACACCCCTTCTGATATATATGTATGATAGTTATCCAAAAATTAGTTCAAGAAGTTACCATTTCTTCAGTCTTCGTTATGATCTATCAGATATAAAGTCAGTCCATCACTGTAACCAACTAGTTTTAAGTACTATAAAATAACTTTTTCATTAGAATTACTTATTAGATTATTTGCAGTAAGCAGTTTTAGTTCAAATATGCTTTATGACCTTAAAATCTCTAACTTGACAACTAATAATCAATTACTCTAATAGTATAGGGGTTGTGGAGATTATTAAGTTTTTGATTGAGATCATGAACCGGTTGATGTTAGACCATCACAATTGAAAACCTGGAAGCACTGGACGGCCGTTTCGTCCTATTGTGGGACTCCTCAGCAGTGCGCATCCACGATCCCGCGAGCGGGATTCGAACCCAGGGCCTTCGGTCTCGCACGTGAACGCTTAACCTAGTGGGCCACTGAGCCGGCATCCAACGGTGATAGTGTCTAACATCAACCAATCCATGAAATTGCGCGACCAACTTCCGTTGTACTGAGGTAGATACCTGTCTCTACCCGACAAGGATTAGCTCCACTGGTCACGGCTTCTCACTAGAACTCCGAGAATTCCCGCTCGCGGGATCGTGGATGCGCACTGCTGAGGAGTCCCACAATAGGACGAAACGGCCGTCCAGTGCTTCCAGGTTTTCAATTGTGATGGTCTAACATCAACCGGTTCATGATCTCAATCAAAAGATTACTCTAATGTTGTTTAACACAACTTTACAGTAAGATTTAGTTGGAATGTGTTTTTGTCCACAGAAATCTTAACTTCTTTGTTACATTTTTGTATATACATGATCTTCAAATTGATTTTCCATGGTTGTGTTAATCTTCCGTTCATACCAATGATTATTAATGGATTAGAATGAACCATTCTGCATAAGACAGTGGTTACCTGGACTCATTCTTGCGCATCCATCTGAAGAGTTCAAAACAAAGAAAAACGACGCTCATTCTGATGGAGTTTTGTTCTCTGATCTGGATGGTTTGATTGTAGAGCTTTTATTATTCTTCTGAATGACATCAGCACAAACGATGAAAGCTCCATAACCAAACAATTTAGCTCAGAGAACAAAACTCCACCAAAATCAACCATCTAAGCAACAAATCTTCTCCACCAACCTACATTCTGGATTCCCTTGTTCACTACCATGTAACTGCTCAAAAATATTCTACATACATTATACATTTACATAGGTATATTTTCTTTTGCTCAATGACTACTACTTATTAGATTATTGTACTTGTTTATTTGTTAATCCAGAATTATTATCGACAAAAAGGTATTCGACAGCCAACACATCCAGATTTTATCAAGTCCACATTTGATGATGCTGCTAATACTATTGTTACAAATTTAAAAACACTATTCACTGAAGCAGAATTATATCGTAATTCATGTGTAAAAGGTATGTACAAATGATTTGAATTTATAAAATATTTTACTGTTAGTTTTTTTGTGTGGATATTATAGTAATGTTTTAATGGTTGAATTCATCAGTCAATTAAAGTTAGATCACCATGGAAAATTTGAAAGCAATGAACTGCCATCTCGTCCTAGTATGGAACTCCTTAGCAATGTGCAACTGTGACAATGGAGGGCGGTGGTGCGATTTACGTGTATTGTTTGAAGTTAGACATTAACACGATTGAATGCCGCCTCAATGGTCTAGAGGTTAAGCGTTCATGTACAAGACCGAACGTCTTGAGTTCGAATCCCGCCTGCGGGATCGTGAATGCCCACTGCTGAGGAGTCCCATACAACAAGACGAAACTGTTGTCCATTGCTTCCAGGTTTCCCATAATGGTCTAGCTTCAGTTGACTCCTGAATTGAACTATTAAATAAAACTCCTAACTGAATTGGAAATTTTACATCGTATACTGACACTCGTTAGACAATCAATGAAAATCATGGGTAACTAAGTAGCTTTTTCATGCTGGTATGATACTCTGAGACAATCTTCATTCATGATCCCACCAGAGACTGAAACCAGGAAGTTGAGCTTCACGTTAAGTACTCAGTCTTCAAACGACTGAGTTAGTATTTCATGGTTTATATTCGTAACTTCAGTTGACTGGCTATACTTCTTTACCGTCATTCATCATCATCGTCTAATGCCCAACATGGTTGAATTCCACTGGTTAAAACTATTCACGAGAACAACTGTAAACTCTCTCCTAAAATCAATCACTAGTAAATATTTGGTAACCGAATTAATAGAGTGCCGTGAAGATTGTTGAATTTTGAATTTCACATCCCTGATTGTCTTTGGTTAAATAACCATTGAAAATATTTATGAACTACTTATAACAAGTAGACTAAGACTAAGGGTATGTAGTTCAAGTGATGTCAGTTTGTGATGAGGACTTTAATCTTAACTCCAAGTCCTCATTCCCAACGTTGATTCCGAATACTAATCTGATAAATGAGCCGTGATCTTTAAACCATTCGCACGTTCACCATCAGCTCATCGGTACAGCTCAGATTTAGAAGAGAAGATTGTCCTTATGAAATGTCTCCAGAAACTTAATATTTTTTTGAATGAGTGACGATGTCTATTATTATTATTTGCCTCATTTGCTTAGTTCTTTGGAGTAAGTCTGGCATTTACAGCGTTGACATTTGCTCATAATGAGTATGGTATTTTTAAATGTTCCATTGTACGTTTTGAATTAGTCCACAAGTGAATATTTTTATTCGTTCAGATTTACAATTACTATTTGATCCCAATAACTTCAACAAAGTGATATACATTTTAGGTTCATTGTTTATTGATTATTCTGAAAGATTTTGAAATGTTAACTGTAATTCCATGGCGTCGAGAATGATGAGTGATGATATTGTTGATAATATGTTGCTTTTTAAATATTCGTTTATGTGGAATATTTGGGACTTGTCAGCTGGATATACCTGCATCCCAGAATTGATTTTCAGTTCAGGACTCGAACCCAGTACCGTTTGCTCCAAATACCATCTCGTTATCCATTTAGCTATCGAGTCAACTCTGGGATGCAGTTACATCCAGCTGACGAGTCCCAAATGGGACGAAGCTCGCGTCCTGTATTCTACTGCTAGTCACTACTCATCTTCGATCAAGAATTATTTCTATAAATATGATATAAAGTATGCACAATTGTGTATATAGAAAACGTTTGTCGACAAGTCAGTACACACAATTCTTTAGCTTTGCATCCAGTCATTATTACAGAAACTACTTAGATGTTTTGAAAATAGACGTAGGAAGATATGTTCAGACGACACTATCAACAAGGAACTAGAGTTTATTCATAATATATTGGTTGAAATGAGTTATCCACAAGGTTTTCTGAAAAAGCATTTTCATATAATGAACAGGAAAATAGCAACATCGATGGTTAGTAAGAAGCCTTTCTTCCGTAAGCTACAATTCGGCGGAGATATAGCCGGTAATGTAGTACGGGATAGCCTGACCAAAGCAATGAAGAGACCGTTTATCGCAGCTAACCTCTGTCTGTCGTTCTTCAGCCGATTTATAGTGCTTTTTCAACCGAAAAATAAGTTACCTGGTTGTGTCACTTCCATGTGCATCTACAAGTTCAGTTGTTGATGTGGAGGAAGCTATATCAGATGTACTGCTAGACAACTGAGTCAATGAATTAGTGAACAGCTCTCATCGTGGTTAGGAAGGAGTATCGTTAAAACAATATGCAGCTCTGTTCTACCATACCTGATCGATAGCGATCATGTGGTAGAAGGAAATATGTCATTTAAAGTGATTTATCATATTCCTACTAACTTCCCTAATGGGGTTCGATTTCGTCTGTTATACATAGCAGAAGCTATTGGGATTCGAGCTAACAATCTAAATCTTTATATTCATAAGACATTTATGACACCCCTATCTCTTTCTTGTTCAATTATGCCTTAATGAATGGTCTTGTTCATGATTATTACGCATACTCTGTATTCGTTTGCTTTGATTCACTTCACAGTTCCTTCTGTCTGAACACATATTATTACGTAATCGTTTTAATTTTTAGTGAATGTTATCTCAATGTTTTATGTTCCGAATCGTTGACCTATCTGCTATTGTGAAATACTGATTCAAGCTTTTATTATTCTTATTACAACTAATAAACCTGTCATTACACTATCGATTTGTAACGTTTACTTATTATATTGCGTAATCTATTCGATAGATGTTACAGACTCATAGTAACTTGGTTAGTTTAATAGTTTCATATATTCGTACAAATATGTATATTTGAAAGTGAAACCTATCGAGGATCTAATTGGATTGAATGCTAGACCCCCGTTGAAAAGATGGAAGCATTGGACGGCCATTTCGTCCAAGTATGGGACTCTTCAGCAGCAACGTACCATTTACTAATGACTATATATATATATATATTCTCTCTATTGTTTAGAATTTTCTGAACAATTGGATAACATTGAACAATTAGCAAGTCAGTTACCATGTTTATTATTTGAACAAATAGTTAATGAAATTAAATTGTATATATTACAAGAGATGAATATCCATCAGAATAGAATACAATTTGATTTAAATCAATTAAATGAATTACGTGTAAGTTAATAAATGGTTTTTTCATTTAATATTCAATGTGATTATTAATCTGTCTTGTAACTCTTCAAAGAGTTACTGACATAAAAATGTCAGTGGATGAGAAAAGTTGATACGCTCACGATTTGTTGAAAGGATTTTGCCGGGTGTATTTTGACAACACCTTCTTTGTATATATGCCATCAACTAATACGCGAGATCTAATAATAATGATACTTCAGATGATGGCCACCAACAAATTGCCAAGTCCTTCATGTAAACACCGACCCCTCGAGCAGCTCTTCTACAGTTTCCACCTAGTTCAAACCTAGGTAAAGAATGATGGTTGGGTATGTTTTCAACAACCCTATCCAGTGGAAAACAATCTTGCAGAAAAAATGCTAACCGGAATAAATAATTTGAACCATTTAAACTCTTCCCTCCGATTTGAAGGATCTTCAGAAGAATGGTGAAACCTCATGGTAAAAGCCGAGATTCTCCGAAAGTCACAAGACTGATGCTTCTTCTAACAAACCCAGCAACACTTTATATAGGTACGTGGAATGTTCTAATAATGTTGGAAACTGAGAGGACAAGTCAAATAGCTGCGGAAATCAGAAGATACAACTTGACAGTTCTGGGAATCAGCGAAACGCGTTGAACTCAAGCTAGACAGCAAAGGCAAGATATGAGAGAGATACTGCTGAACTCCTGTCACGAAGAGGAAAATGCTCCACATACTCAGGGAGTTGTTCTGTTGCTGTCCGAAGAAGAACGTAATGCACTTATTAGGTGAGAATCTCGTGGATCTAGGATCATTAAAGCATCCTTTAAAACAAAGAAGGGAATCATGATGAATGTTATCCAATGTTATGCACCCGCCAATGATAGCGACGGCGACAATAAAGATAAGTTTTACGAGAGGTTGTAATCAATCATAGCGAAGCGCCGAAAAGGATCTCACCATCTTGATTGGAGATCTAAACGCTAAATTCGAAATGTACAACGATGGGCATGAAGATATCATGGGACGACATGAACAAACTAGGAGACTGGAACGAGGAAGGCGACTGTAGCTCTTCTAGAGTTATTGACGTAAAAATGTCAATGGACGACAAAAAATGATATGCTCACGATTTGTTGAAAATATTTTGTCGGGTGTATTTTGACAACACCTTCTTTGTGTGTATGCCATCAATTAATACGTGAGATCTAATAATAATGATACTTTAGACGGTGGCCACCGACAAATTACCAAGTCCTTCATGTAAACACCAACTCATCCAGCAGCTCTTCTACACTTACCGCCTGGTTCAAGCTTAGGTAAAGAAGGATGGTTGGGTATGTTTTCAACAATCCTATCCAGTGGAGAACAATCTTTGTACCAGTTTTTGTGTTCTTACTTTCGCGTGATGGTAATTACAGTGGTTCGTCATTTTCGAGTATAAATAATAAACAATTTCGACATAATACTCATTAACTGACCAGATATAACAAATAACGTTCAATTAGAAGACTTCTCATATACAAAGTTTAACAAATCGCATAGATTTTTATAGTTTTCAATTTATTCTATCATTCGAATTGAAATAACGTAATGATATGTCTCATATACAAAAAACTTAGATATCGACGGCTTAACTGCATGAACATCAATTAGTGGTCAAACACCATGACATGTCCTCACTTATATCAATACACGTGGACAACTGCGGACATACATTCGACTAGAAAAATGTGCAAATCTTGGATAGAGAAAATTCCAAAAACATCAGAAAATTTTTAGAAGCTTGGCACTCAGGTCAATCAGCAATCAACAAGCACATTGAAATCAATCCAATTTATCAACCAATCAGGAAAATTATGCACAAACATAGGAACAAAATCAAACCAATGGGAAATATAACCAAAACAAAGAAGTGGATAACGATAGGTTAAAGGTCGACAATAACCATTGAACATACAGGTCTATCGGACAAGCTGTGAGTCATATATGTGGAGAAATTCGAACATCTTACTTCTACCTGAATTTCGTGCTGATGCTGTCGTTTAGAATAACTATGAAAACTCCACCACCCAACCATCCAGTTCATAGAACAAAGCTCCATCAAAAACAACTTAACTGGTTTTTTATCTTCTATAATTTTCAACCCTTGAATTTTGAACAAAAAAACTAAGTGGGAAAAATCTTAAAAGATGTGTTTTACTTCAAAGGTTATTTGAATACGATGTAACGTTAAGGTTGTACAAACTTTCAAAAAAGAAACAACTAAAACTTGAAACAAATTCGGTTATTATCTAATCATGATAAAAAGTACACCTAATCAGTAATTACCTAGATTTCTCTTAAAAGATTTCGAAAGAATGCTGATATTTGAAAGTATTTCCAGTAATTCTCTGGTTTCTGAAGTGTTATAACTTGTGGGTCATGTGTCCATATCAATATATAAATAACGTAATGATACCGTCAATTAAAGAACAGTAACTTATCGACCAGACCAATGAATCGTAAAGCTGTACGAGCAGTCTACAGTCTTTATCGGTCTTGATTCCCGCCTAGCCCTAATTGTTCAGTCCAGAACACCAATCTCAGCCTCTACGATATGAATCATGTATTTCAAACATACTGGGTTTATATACCAACCAAACAGACCACATCGTACCATAAAATACAGAAAATACACATATGTACAAGATTTAGCCGAATGTGGCTGTGAATGTGAGAAGACTGTAATTGATAAACCAGGCATAACTCTCGAACGGTAAGTCGTATAATCATAGTGTATAAGTCGATATTAAGCTTATAATAAGAGGAACAAGAATATGAATAGTTTAGCTACTTAATAATTATGCAATAAGAATATATGTATAGTATTAGTCTAGAAATGGATCCCAACAGTGACCATTCATTATTCTCGTTGGGATATAACATGAAGAATTATGGATGATTTCCGACTGACGATATTTTTTTTCTTCATAACATTATATTTTCCAATTCTATTTTAACACATCTCATTTGTATCAGAAGGGGTTTGTGGAGATTTTTAGAAATTTTCACAGATTGAAATCATGAGTCAGTTGAAGCTAGACCACCATTGAAAACCTGGAAGGAGTGGACGGCCGTTTCGTCCTAGTACGGGATTCCTCAGCAGTGCGCATCCACGATCCCGCACCACGCGGGGCTCGAACCCAGGACCTACTGGCTTCGCGCGCGAGCACTTAACCATTAGACCACTGAGCCGGCATCCAACGGTGTTAATGTCTAACTTCAAACAATCCACGAAGTTGCACCACCATATACCATACTAGGACGAAACGGACGTCCACTCCTTCCAGGTTTTCAATGGTGGTCTAGCTTCAACTGACTCATGATTTCAATCTGTGAAAATTTCTAAAAATCTCCACAAACCCCTTCTGATAATAATCATCTGCTTACTAGTGACTGACTTCAGGAGAACCTCCTGGAGTTCTGGTGAGAAGCCGTCACCAGTGGAGTTCAACGAGGTCTGTTGTGAGATATCAGCTCACTGAAGACATTGGTATTCGATGGCGCAACTTCGTGGATTGGTTGAAGTTAGACATTAACAGCGTCGGATGCCGGCCCAATGGTCTAATGGTTAAGTGCTCGCGCGCGAAGCCAGTAGGCCCTGGGCTCGAGCCCCGCGTGGTGTGGGATCGTGGGTGCGCGCTGCCGAGGAGTCACGTCTCATTTGTGACTATTCAAATAAGAATCTACAAACTTATACTTCACCATTGTTTATCTGACATTTATCTTTAACTGTAAACGTTATTGACCACTTTATCGACCATACAGAATATAAAATATTTAATGCCTGAAACCTACGGTATTCATCTATTTTTTCTCAATAGAATAGACAAGAAAAATAACCTGATTATTATGGTGTTTCGGCGAGACTATAATTTATGGACAAACCAATCAGATTTAGGATAAAAAGACTTAGATTTTGGCGCGAAATTCACACAACCATTTAGGTAAATAGAGTCTTGGCATTATAGCTGATGTCAATTCGTGATGGAAAACCACAAATCTAATTCTAAACATCTAACCATCAACTGTAAATCATAATCTTTATTCTTCACACAGGTTTATAACTCTTATCTAATCGTGGTTAATAGATGGACATTCTCAAGGTCACTTTAGCGTCGCTCAAAGGTCGTCCACAAATTATAGCTTCTTGATTGAGATCATGAACCGATTGATGTTAGGCCACCTTTGGAAACCTGGAAGCACTGGACGGCCGTTTTGTCCTATTGTGGGACTCCTCAGCAGCGCGCATCCACGATCCCGCTCGCGGGATTCGATTCGGTTCATGATCTCAATCAAGAACTTAATAATCTTCACAACCCCTATACTAGTAATTATAGTTTCACCGGTGTTCCCACTTATATTCTATAGTATCCAGCATCATGATGAATTGTGAGCTTTTAAAAAAACGCGTGAATATTTTATACAAAATACATACATAATTACTCTGTTAAAACAAAGACAAAATATGAACATTTATAACTGTAACACCAGTTGTCGATGGTCCGGAGAATCTCACAGAAGAATTAGTTCTCTCTTAATTCTTAACTGCCTTCAACTAACTAACTAACTAACACAGAATCACTTAAACGAATTCCAATATTATAGTTTAGTCTATAGAAATTGATTTACACTATTCATTACTGAATGATGAATTATGATAAACATGTTTTTTCTTTTATTTATTTGTTTAAACATATAAATATTGGTACAAAGTGGCACCGAATACATATGCGCCACATAAGTCACCTGATTTAGGTGTGGGTTGTGATACTGCCCGATACTGCCCAGACCGAGGGTCACTCCTGGAGCCTTCAACCTAAAGGTCTGATCCACAAAGCAGTGAAAAACGATTGGTCTATACACTATTTGTTCCTTCAAGGTCCTGGAGCTCAATGATTTGGAATGATAGTTTTCCAACTCTCAGATAGTGGTTGGAGGTAGTCGACAGGAAACCCTGCACCGGGGTTTGAGGGAACTGATGCTCCCTGACGGATTCGATCTCGTGTCACCCAGCTTCATAGTCAGAGACGTGATCACTGAGTTACCCGGGCCGTGACTAACCTCCTGTAGGACTGAGATGTAATCACAATTGATTGATCACTGGGTGGTGATCAATATCATGCTTGTCTAGTCCTTATTAGTGCAGATCGAATCCTATCGACCATGTTGCAATGTGGCCAACAGTCTAGGTGACTCGACACTGCGGGCACTATATATTGAGATTTAGATGGTGGTTGGAGGTAGTCGACAGGAAAGCCTGGACCCGGGTTTCGTGCTACTTGGCACTCGTCAGCAAGGTGTACCTGTAATCTTGAGGGAACTGATGCTCCCTGGCGGATTCGATCTCGTGTCACCCAGCTTCACAGTCAGAGACGTTACCACTGAGCTATCCGAGCCGTGACTAACCTCCTGTAGGACTGAGATGTAATCACAATTGACTGATTATTGTTTGGCGCTCAATGTCATCAATGTATCAAATCCTTCTTAGTGCAGACCGAATCCTATCGTTCAAGTTGCAATTTGGCCATTAGTCTAGGTGACTCGATACTGGCATGCACTATATGATCAATCAATTGGGAGTTTCCCAACTCTCCTATTATTATTATTATTATTATTATTTTTATCATTCAATGATATCCACCTTTAATATATATCTGATATTTTCATTATAGATGAAATATAATAATCAACTTCGATTAGAACTATGTAATTTAAAAAATCAATATCAATTAATGATTTTATTAAAACAAGAAAATGAACGTCAATTAAATTTTATTAAATTATTAAATAAATTAAAAACAATTAAATTACAAATTATTCATAAAGGTAGACAATTATTTAATCAACGTTTATCTCATTTAACCGATTATTTATTTATTCGATTAGATAGTTTAATTGGATCAGATCAAATTGATCATTCAGGTAATTTTGGATCATGAAAAGAAAATTTTTTTAAATTTTTATAGCCCGACTAGTTATCATGTCATTTATTAGCCAATCAAAATACAACTTATTCATTCATGTCTGACCGGTCTGATCAGCCTAATATCTTATTGGTCGGTTGTTTGTCTAGCCTATTCAGTTGACAGATTGAAATCATGGGTCAGTTGAAGCTAGACCACCATTGAAAACCTGGAAGGAGTGGACGGCCGTTTCGTCCTAGTATGGGACTCCTCAGCAGTGCGCATCCACGATCCCGCACCACGCGGGGCTCGAACCCAGGACCTACTGGCTTCGCGCGCGAGCACTTAACCATTAGACCACTGAGCCGGCATCCAACGGTGTTAATGTCTAACTTCAAACAATCCACGAAGTTGCACCACCATATACCATTGTCTTCAGTGAGCTGATATCTCACAACAGACCTGGTTGTACTCCAGTTGAGTCAAGAATGTTAATCACAGCCTCGACTATGCAAATCATCTATTTCAGATATACTGAGTTTATATATTAAATCAAACAGACCTCAACGTACCACAAAATAGAGAACAACATTTGTACAAGATATAGCTAAAAGTGGCTGTGAATGTACTTACTTATTTACGCCTGTTACTCCTCGTGAAGGAGCATAAGCCGCTCACCAGCATTCTCCATCCAACCCTGTCCTGAGCAATCCTTTCCAACTCTTTCCACCAGTTGTTATTCATCCTTTTCATATCTGCTTCTATTTCCCGACATAATGTGTTCTTTGGCCTTCCTCTTTTCCGCTTCCCTTCATGATTACAAGTTAGGGCTTGTCTCATCATGCAGTTTGGTGATTTCCGTAATGTAAGTGAATGTGGGAGATAGTAATTGAAAGACTGGACATAACTCAAGAATGGTAAATCGTATAATAATAATAATAATAATAATAATAATAATAATCTGTAAGTCAAAACTAAGTTTATAATAAGGGGAATATAGATATGCATAATCTAATTACTGGATAGTTATATCATAAGAATATTTAGATAATATTAGTCTCAAAAGTTACTCGTAATTTAATCTGGACTAGGATATAACAATCATCAACATGAACTTCTATTTGGTTAGACAACTATGGGGGAACTGGGAATCACTGGATAATTGTTTTGTCCTAATATAGAACCCTATAAACAGAGAGCATGTAGAATGCCATTAATGATTGAACTCGAAATTTGGAAGTTTTGCGGTGAGTAATTAACCCTAAAACGACTGAATTGATATCGAACGGTTTAAATATTTTGATTGATTCCTACATCAGACTAATCAAATAATTGTCGAAGTTCGGAGTATCATCTTTTAAGAAAAAAGGACTCTTAATGGAAGTTAATCTTTTCGACTAATCGATTATTAAGCTTTTGGTTGATATCATGAACCGATTGATGTCAGACTACCGTTGGAAACCTGGAAGGCCGTTTCGTCCTATTTTGGGACTACTCAGCAATGCTCATCCACGATCCCGCTCACGGGATTCTAACCCAGGGCCTTCACTGAGCCGGCATCCGACGGTGTTAGTGTCTAACATCAACCAATCCACGAAATTGCACGATGATCTCCTATTGTACTGGGGTAGATACCTATCTCTACCCGCTCCACTGGTCACGGCTTCTTACTAGAACTCTGAGAATTCCATCACGAAACTAGTCACTAGTTTGGAGTCCCGAAATAGGACGAAACAGCCTTTCAGTGCTTCCAGGTTTCAAACGGTGGTCTAACATCAATCGGTTCATGATCTCAATCAAAAACTTAATAATTTGCACAACTCCTATACTGATAATCGATTATTGTTTCCTATTTTACTGTTCATAAACTATAAATGAGTTAATGATGAATGTTTTATACAGCTTTATATGAACAATGTGTTGGTTGTATATCTATTGAGGTTTAGAGATGGTGCCACGGTGTGGTCTTGTAATCACATGAGTTACAAAGATATTTTTGATCATTCATCTGGAATCATGTTATTCTTGTCAGAAGTTTACGAATGTAAGTATTTGTGTAGTATAAACATGTGCGACAAATCCAGATAACGGAATTAGGATGATTTCTTATTATTAGGGTAGGTAAAAGTATAGCGAATCATTTATTAATACCACACTACTATGCTGAATGTATATGAGAGTTTGGATAAGGAGTGCTTTACCTGTTGAGTGCTGTTAGAGGTATGAGGGCACTTATCACTTCCCGGTTGCCCACACCGTGGAAGGGTTGTTCTGGAGGTACCTGAAAAGGAAATTCGGTTAGAGGTGGTCTTAGTGACTTGAGAGCGTGAACTCAGTGCTCAAGGGACAACCACTTGAAATCGGTCACACACGACCTTTTTATGAGTAACTTTTGTGTTAGCTCCGTACTTAATGAGACCTTACCGCCGGAGACCAATATTCGTGGGATAAGGTGAGGTGTGCATTTTTAGGGTCGACCTTTTCTAATCGCAACCCTCCTTGTGGGAAGGCAGCATCGTTGTCATGTTGGTTGTCTGAAGGAAACACCTTACTGCTGTCACACCTCGGTACGGTCAGCAGTACGACTTTGCCTTAGGACCTTGGGTTTGTTACTTTTAGTCTTACTGTTATTCAACCGACCTGTCTGGCTTGATAGGAGCTTGAGGAACGATTTTTCAAGCCAATATAGCCCGACTGGTTCATCACTATAGGCAAGCCTGACCACCACTTCAAGGTAGCAACAATGGTCGGGAATGCTTTTTCTGGAGGAATACACTAACAAAGATCTGTGAAGAATTGTTGGTTGAGTGAAATAGTCACAGTCAATAGTATCCATATATTTATTAATGTAAGTCTTCAGAAATGTCGATAATTGGAGATATGTGTCAAAGATTGTTTTCTCTTCTATAATTTATCACAGTAGTTCAGACCTATTCTCCCCCGCTGTAGCTGCCACATTGACTTCGTGATAGATATTGCCTTTCATGATGATCTAATTGAGCTTTATTGTCTGGAATACATATCCCTTTACATCCTACTACTTCCAATAAGTCTGTTGAAAGGCAATAAAACTAAAAAGCAATAAGCCTAAATCCTAATATTGAATTCTTACTATCAAATCTATTTGTTCTTTTCTTCTTAGACAATAATCATGATTCTACTAAACCAAAGAAATTAATGATTCATATATTAGATAAATCATTAACTCATTTAAATGATAATCAAATATCTTCAAATGTTAAAGAAGATCTAGATCGTGGTAAACGAACATGGGAAGGTGTCAAATTCTCTGAACTTATGATACAAACAAATGATCATTTGGAATCAATGAACAATTTAACAAAATCCAATTTAAACAAACCATTAAAACAAGAAAAACAATCCATGTTAAAAAGTTCACGTAACACTTTCAATAATAATTCTACAGAATTACATAATACTAATCAAGATGATAATTATTGTATAGTTAGTGCTAAAACTACAAAAGCTCATATGTCCACATTAAAATATCGTGATATTGCTGTTGTGGTAAGTGTTATAACTGGTGGGTCTTGTACCCCTATCAATATATATATAGTATTAGTGATGCCCACCCCTAGGTAGCATGGAATGACATCCGAAAAGCTGTGGAAACAGCAGTGATATCTGCTAGTAAGGTAAAGCATAAGGTTAGGTAGAAACACTAGATCTCAGTAGCATCTACCGCACTGATAGATGCTCGAAAACCCATCCCATCTGGCTCTGAACATGACAAAGAGCGGAGTCGACTTAAACACAGGCTGATAAGATGCCTACGCAATGATCGTGAACAGTGGTGGGTAGCGAAAGCAAGAGAGATGGGAAACGTAGCCGCAATAGGGGAGTTAGGAAACCATCATTACAAACCAATAGTAAACCTGGGTTATAAGTCTTGCTAATTGAACGCTATATTCGGTTCCTAAGCTACTCTCGTAACTCCCAAGCTAGAACTACACAGCGACCTGAACACGAGAGAAAAGGCGAAAAATATGCAAGAAGCACTCTACTCCAAGTGTTAGTTTTAGTACAGAAAATATAGGGTTTTTATAGTATTTTAGATGTCCTTGGGTTTCCCGAAAATTCTGGGACGCTACTAAACATAGTAGCAGTGTAGTAATCAGCCAATCAGGAACTCTACATGTGACTCTTCACTGTCTTGGTGTTTCTGGCTAAACTTCTAGTGAACGCTGATGGGATAAAATGCTTCTTAGTGTTTCTTGAACCTTTCTTGGTTCTTGCGAGTTTTCGGGATCACTTCAACAATGAGCTCAAAGATTCTGGGGGAAAAAATGGCGTATGAACCTATCGTTGGTCACCGACTACCGTGAAATTGCATCTCCGGACATTGTGTCCACTGCCTTGTGGACCGGATCTCTAGATCAAAGGTTCGGGGAGTAGCCACCTAAGAGGACCACCTGTTTCGGTTTGAGCACCCGGGCAATATCCAAGCATTCACACAAATCAAATGATTTGTGTGGCGCATATATATTTGGTGCCTCCTTGTACCAATGTTATAATGTTTAAATAGAATAAATATCAAGTGATAATGATTAAGACTAGATAATCGTATGTGTGTGTGTGTGTACATACTGTTCTGAAGAATCTAGAACACGAATAAGAGACCTACTCATTTAATGATTGCTGAGTTGTTGTGTGTTTTTTTCCGTTAATACTTTGTATCATACAAATTAACTCTATGTAAACTTTCTTACTGTTTTCTTTTTTGTTTTTTTTTTCTTTTATTTCATTATTGTTAATGTCATAATACAGGAGTTTCGTTTATTTACTCAAAATTTATTAGAATTAATAGAAATGGAATTTACTCATTCAATGAAAGATAATGATAAACATAAACAACAATGGATAGAAAGTGTAAATCTTTTTAATAAAACTTAATTGAATCATAGAAAATAATGATTATACATTGTTTACATATTCTTGTATACCATTATATATATACTCAGTCAGTCAATCAGTCAGCTACAACGTAGGACCAGGCACATATGTGCATCGGTCCAGGTTGCCATACCGCATCAGCACAACGAGATGATCACCGGATTCATAGCAGTGGTTAGGTCAAAGGTGGTAATATATAAGAGAGAGATTGCATATAGAGATATAGTACAAGAAGAAAGAATTGGTTCGTAGAAAGAAAGATATGAAGCGATTTTAACCTCTTAGTTTAAGGGAAGACAGAGAGTGTATACACCGACGGGGATCATATATATACTCAGTATATTTTCGACTTGGAAAGTTCTTTTTCTTATCAAGTTAAAAGGAGATCACTTAGAACATAGTTAAATTCTGCACTGATTATGTTCTGCAATTCGATTCAACTATAATATATGATTCAGTCAGCTACAATGTAGGATTAGGTACATACAGATATGCATCAGTACAAATTGTCATACGTCATTAGTACAACAAAATGAACATCGCATGCATAGAATTAGTTAATTCAGTGGTGGTAATATATAAAAGAAAGATTGTGTATAAGGATATAATGCAGAAAGAAAGAATTAGTTAGTAGAAAGAAAGGTATAAAGTAATTTTAATTTCACGGTTTAAGGGAAGACAAAGAGTGCATACACCTACTATAATATACACTTATGTCCCTCAAATGCCCTGGTATGGTCGAGAGTGGGGAGAGTCAGCTCTCCCTCACGAAATACTCTCATATGGCCATGTGCATACAACCACTCCAAGGGAAGTCCTACTCATTGCCTTCTCATGGTAGGGGTGCTGTTTACGTAATTGAGAGGACGAAAAGTGAATATAAGGCGCTTTAACCGTGTCGGTGGATATGGAACATCCACCTAAGGGAGTTGGAAAACCCTCATTCCAAACAAATGGTGCACATGGGCTACACGATCCTGAGTGAATAAATGGCATATGAACCAACCGTTGGTCACCGGCTATCATGGTATTGCATCTCCTTACGTTGCTTCACTACCTTGTGGATCAGACCTTTAGGTCAAAGGCTCCGGGTGTGGCCTCCTAAGAAAACCACCTGTTTCGGTTCACACACCCGGAGAGAATCCCAGCCCTCACACAAATCCGATGATTTATGTGGCGCATGTATATTTGGTGCCTCCTTGTACCAATGTTTATGTATTTAAATAAAATAAAAACACTTATTACGGTTTGTACCAAATCCACTATAAAAATGAAAAGACTGAAATGAGTAGGAAGATTTAATCGGAAAAATTGTAATGTGAGTAAATCATAGCATATATACATTCTTTGGCTCGTACACGTTACGCATACTCAGCGACTGTTTGTCGATCATCAGTATCCCCGAAGGACTGACCATAGTTACTGGTGATACCATGAAAGTCATGCAATATGTGTTCGAGGATCTTGAAAAGCCATAAATACCTTATGCTAATTGTTCATTGTTTACCATAGTTTTAATAAAAATAATTAAACCGAACACTTTTGATACATCTATTTCACAAACACATTAAGTCAGTTCATTAAATTAGTTGGTCAGTTAGTAAGTCAAAATTACGGGGTAGACAAAAAAAGAAGCCTTCATACAATAGATATATACAGTATTATCACATATATATACACACACACACAATTAGTTCAAAACAAGACAATATGATAAATATAGACTCGACTAAGGATAAATCGTTGAAGAAGAGATAAAGCAGGATAGAAAAACAAAGTCAGATTGTCAAAAGTTATTCAACATTGTCAAATACATAAATATCACTTCCTCAAACTTTTGTCAGTTAGTAAGAATCACAGATGGAGACTTTATAATCTGCGTCTTTCAACTTTCTGAGCTTTTCTGTTTGCTGTCTGACGACGTTGTTCAGCTTTTTCTAGTTGATGTTTACGTTGTTCAAGGTTCTCCTGACGTTGTTTAGCAGCATTTAGAGAGGCTGCCTTTCGAAAATTCACTTCACATTCTATAACACGTTCACGATTACGTCCACCTTCAGGTAGAACAATATCTTGTTTGAGAAAGCGTGAAACAGAAAACAACGATGTTAATGTTATGGACACATTAAACCCGATATAACAAATGAAGTGTGTAATTAAAAAAAAAGCATTTTCGAAGCACACGAAAAACGTTTCATCCAATTTTGTGGCTCAACAATCAGAAACCTGCAAATGACAGAACCCACGACCTAAGAGTTTCATGAAAAATGAACCTATAGTCTAAGGAAACTCAGAACAAGTTTATCGTCTCATATGGGACCCACTTGGATGTGTCTGCGCTTCAGTACTGACGTCCACATTTATATTTGGACCCAGTATTTATCGATACAAAAGATAATGACTTATCGAGACACTTGCTTAGGACACACATATCCCAAAGAAAGAATTCGGCCTTAAACGTCAACAACAAGATAATTCTAACTCTCGCAAAAAAAAACTGCACTCGTGAAGCAAGTCAGTAGCAATATAGATTCAGTAGTTCAGTGGACAATATGTTGGTATTTAAAATGAAAGATATTGGGCTTGGCTTGAGTTTCTGTATGGAAATCAACTCTGGAATGCGAATGCTTCCGCCCGACGAGTCCCAAATACAACGAAATCTGTATTTTAAATTATGCTGTTAGCTACAATCCAAATATACTATAACTGTGTGGTACAATGACTTAAGCACTGAGTTTCACTCATTAAGGGGTCGCAGATCAAAACTTAAGAAAAATATGTTACTTTGCAGCGCCCTTCAATATCTCTAGTGTTTGTATTACTTCGTCTGAGAGATATAATCTTGATACTAACTTTTACTGAAAAACTGCTTAGACAGTTACTTTTAACAAAGTTAACAAAATTACTCGGCAAATCACATACATGTGCATACATATACCCATATTTTAAGAGTTTGCTTTGGAAGTCAATCAAGAACACTGTATATGGATGACTAAACTGAAGAAGTGGAATGGTATTCCGTAATTGTTGAAACACAGTAACAGAAATTTAAATATGACAACCATTAAGTTGAAGAAGACATGAGATCAACTAATTTTATACTCACACATAACATAGATGTGCACTAAAATACACTTGTGTTTACACTGGATACATTCAAAAGCTATAAGTAATGATAGAAAGCATTCTTCCTTCATTATCAATCACACAACAAATTACTGACATTGTTCTCATGAATCGAAAAGGTCACTGAAAGGTCTCTTAACTGAATGACTGACCTTCATTAATAGGTTCTGGGTGAATATCCGAATCTGTGAATAAAAATGCCTCCATATCTTCACGTTTACAACGAGACACCTTAGGATCTGCGTCATCCAAACTTGAAATGAGTGAAGCTTTCGAATTGGTATTGTGTTTTTGTTTGGCCTCAGCTTGTGCACCAATTCTTGCAATATGTTTGGATGGAGGAGGGCACTTTTTAGACTGTTTTTGACGTGTTGAAGAGATTCTCTGAGACTGACTAGTTGATTTATCGACTAGATGTGATGAATGAGAATTACGTATGCTCATTGATGATGATCGAGATGATGTCTCCTTGACTAGGATGGGATTTTGAGAAGTGTTGGATATACTCAGCCCACATGACTGTGATGATGTGAGTGAAGTTAAGATAGACAGAGCACCTTCAACTGTACCAGGTTTCACATCATCCCTGAAAAAAAAAACACAACACTATGTTGAATCACCTTATAAAATATCCAAGCTCGTGAACAATTCCATACCATGGTGGTGTTTTGCTACTATGGAAAACGAATGTTAGACCATTTTGAATTGGCACAAACTACCATAGTCATTAATTTACCCCCCGTATGTACGCGTTTTTGTTTAACTGTATGCACAAAACTTGAGTAACGTATTTGAACTCGATCTACCTCATATTGTTGGGCGTGCATGTGAATGACAACAAATGAGACATATTATCTTCCAGAAATTATCCACTGAGAGAAAAGTCACTACGATATGTCATAATTGTTTACTTATTATTACTGTTCATGTTCTCATCAATTGCGGTGTTGAGAACCTATGCATTATGCACCTTTGATCATCACTATCATCTATTAGGATATTCAATTTTAGTTGGTGTATGAAATAGGCTAGAAGCTAGGGATGATCAAATCAAGACATAGCCGTATATTCATAAGTGCAAACTATCTGGTTGTGGCCTATGTAATGATTCTGGTTAGGAGAAATTAGGTACTATGTTCTAAAGTCGATCACAGTGATACAGATATGATTAATACTTTGCTTTCTTTTAGACTTGTCCTATGAATTCATTCTGTCATTTTTGAACCATCTTAACTGCATTTAACTATTTCTCACTATCACTGATACCGCTATTATCTCCAGTTCTTAACCATTCATCATGTTAATTTTATCTTCTTATGCTGACGTAGTGTGGTAACTTGAACTGATATACATATGTACATACAAACCAGATCCTAAATCGACTATGATTGATTGAATAACTACTATTCTTGCCATTATTATTATTTATTTATTTATTTGAACACATGAATATTGGTACAAGAGAACGCCAATATATATGCGCCACACAAAACAATGAGAATTCGAAGAGAAATAGAAAAAAAAAGCCAAGGAGCGCAAAAAAAAGAGAACAAAAACGAGGAGATTGGTGTAAGGTAGTATGGTAGAAATGAGGGAACTGAAAGGTACAATCAGAAGAAATCTTTCAGATAAAGGAGACACAACCACTTTTTATGTAGAAAGTAAAAGAAGATTACAGCAGGATCGCCACTGGCTTCTATTCTGAGCCATATCTGATAACGTCTCTAGCCACTGTGTAACCAGTCCTTTGCAGCTTTCTTTCATGCCACGATACCATGTCATGCACTGACCACCTCTCCGTTTCTTCCAACCAGTCCCAGAGGCGGCAAATAATGCACGACGTGGAATTCTCTGGGACGACATTCGTAGAACATGTCCAAGCCACCGAAGTCGGTGTTTCAAGATGGTGACACCAATTGAATTATCATCTCTGTGCCCGAACACACGATACCCAACCTCTGCATTACTGACATGGTGTTGCCACTGAATGTCAGCAACCCTTCGGAGACAGCGATGATCGAACACAGAGAGTCGTCTAACGTCCTCAACTCGGAGAGACCAGGTTTCACAAGCATAGAGCAAAACTGCTCTCACCGACGCGTTGTAGATCCGACCTGTTACGGCCAGACTAACATCATGAAGGCGCCGAAGATGGCCCAGATTGGCATAAGCCGTTCTGGCTTTCACTATACGTGCATTGATCTCATCGCTCACACCCCCACCAGCACTTATGAAGCTACCCAGATACACGAACTTCTCGACTACGTCTATCTGCTCACCATCCAGGGTGAGTACAGGATTGGAATCCTGCCAGTCTTGTAGAAGTACTTTGCACTTCGAGGGTGCAAAGCACATACCATACATACGGACACTGATTGCCAACTGATTAAGTGCGGATTGCATGCCTTGGGCATTATCGCACAGTAAGACAATATCGTCCGCATACTCAAGGTCGAGAAGTCTTTCTCCAGACAACAGATCCACACCACCATTACTTACATTCATCAGAGCTGTTTCCAGAATGTCATCGATGGCAAAGTTGAAGAGGAATGGTGAGATTGGGCAACCCTGCCTAACCCCACTGCTCGAATGGAACAATGGAGAGAGGTGGTTGTATGCCCTCACTCTGCCTGAGGTGTTTGTATATAGGGCTTTTAGGATGTTAATAAACTTCTCAGGCACACCCTTCTTCAATAGACAATCCCAGAGAAAAGTCCTGTCCAACGAATCTAAGGCAGCCCTGATGTCAAGAAACACTACGATTGTTGGCCTTTGATAAGTATGGCGGTGTTCTAACATTTGGCGGAGGGTAAAGATATGATCAATACATCCTCGACCAGAACGAAACCCAGCCTGCTCCTCGCGAGTCAATCTTTCTCGGGTTTTGAACAACCTACGAAATATGACGGAAGCCAATAGCTTGGACGCAATCGGAAGTAGACTTATCCCCTGATAATTGTTACAGGAAGGACGTGAACCCTCATTCCATGACGTTGGTACACTCTCTAGTTCCCAAACCTTTATTATTACTATTATCATTATTATTCTGAACTGATTTACTGATTGTGAGAAACCAATCGATTGTCAAAACGAAAATATTATTGAATGAAAAATTTTCCTCAATGTCGGATATATTTCATTTAATTGTCTCAATAGGAAAGATAGAAGAAAAAAGGGTTAGTAGTAATATCCCATAAAACAATATAATATCAGTCAGAGACAACGAGGAACCTGGTATATATGTGTATACTTTATTCAGTTCATTCGCCAAGTAGTATATATGTTAGAATAACTGACTTTGGGCTATAATTTAAACGTGAAGACTAATGATACTACTCAGTTGCTCAAACCAAAGTAGATAGAATGGGATTTGAACTTGTAACTTTGTGGTTGAAAGTTAAATGTCTCAACCATTGGCTTACTGCTCTTACATATGCATCAGTTTAAGTTGTTACACCACATTAGCATAACGAGATGAAATTATCAGAAAGAATCTTGGAGCAGTAGTAGTAGAATCAGTGATAGTAAAAGAAGACTAGGGATGAAAATGACTTGTTCTAGAAATTGTTCACGAAATAAAATGTATGACAGAATTTTGAAACTCAGGATCTACGGAAGGATACAATATGTTATCATGAAATTCTAACAGTACATTATGAGTAATATCACTTCAGGTAAACAAAAGTGACTAACAAGAAAACAACTTACTTTCTTCCATATTCACAGAAACTTTCAATATCTTCCAAATCAGTGTCGGATTCATCCTCACTATCATCGCCGATGCCAACTTCAACAAAGCCATTTGAACTGGAACCAGTTGTCAATGCACCAATAGTTGGATTTGAACGATTTTTATTGATAAATTCCGAATTAACCATTGCCACTTCCAATTCACGTTCTTCATCTGAATTCTTTTGATAAGCAGATACACCAGTTGAACGTAATATTGCTTGAGTGTATGGATCTCGATCAGAATGATGATCTGATTTCTTAGTTTCAACGATACGCATACAATCAGCTTGCATTAAATTACGCATTTGATCTTCAACAGATTGAATATCATTTGTAGATGACAATGATGATTCAACTTTATCTTTGCCCAATACGATTCCATCTTTAAGGATATAAAAGAAACTTAGTCTCAAGACTACAGATCATACGAAGAATGGAAACTTTAAAATTATCAAGTGATTTAAACAACTTCACAGTCTCATTGATAGAAACAAAAATCCTCCCACATGCAATCTGTATGGTTGTGAAACATGGGTTTGAAAGCAAGGACATGAGTAAGCTACTAGCTTTTGACCATAGGTGCCCTAAAGGCATTGATTGGATTTCGTGGAATGACCAAGTGGGCAGTGTTGAGGTAAAGCATAGGGTACCTAATAAAGGTGGTACAGTGGTTGATGAAGTTATAAGATCACCAACCGAGATGGCTAGAACGTGTATTACATACTGTTACCATTGACAAACTGTAAGATTTGATGAATATTGAAAAAGCAACTACTATTTACAGAAATCCATTGATAAGTAATAAAAATAATAAAGACAAAAAGTCAGATGTAGATACAGTGAATAAAAAACCAATGTCTAGCCATCTGAACTTCAAAAGGGATAACGTCACAAGCATAATCAACAAGATGCTTTACTTTGCACTAACCAACACCTACTCTACATCCAAACTATTAACCCTGCATAAAACGTGTTCAATAATTCAACAAGTTGGAAAGTACCCCTTTCATGTTACCAACAACTTTGTCTGTAAATGTACATGTACGTACTAAAGTAGCCATATTAGCAGAACATAAAGGAGGGCACGTGCCAGGTTTTTTAAACATATTCCAAAAAGGCTCTGAACAAGATATATATATATATAATGCAACTACTAAGGGCGGCCTGCTTGAGCATCTGGGCTACCTGTTCCTGCCATCTAGATATTTCAACAAGTTATCTATTGTTGTTTGTTTTAATATATCATTATGTTTATTAATCGCATAACCTATTCTGCTGCGTTTCTGAAAAGTGTACAACCTTTCGTTGTCAAAGTTACAGAAAACTCAATAAGAGACAATATGGTTGCTGGCAATGTACAACGAAAAGAATGTACATTATTCAGTTGTTCATTCACTGAAGTGCTAACAACTAACTGGCGATTCCTCAATATTTATCGCCAGGACCGACCAAGAAGAAAGAAACGGAAACTTGTTGAAATACTTTGCGCTGAGAATTCTATATTGTACCAAAATTATAATATTGAATAAAGCTAATAATAATAATAATAATAATCTCTTAGACATAGAGTATCAGGTCGATACGCTGAAGTCTTCCATGGTAATTTATCAGCAGTCAAGCTCCAGTCGTTTGAATTTTCCTAAACCCATTATTATCAGGCGTCAGAAAACTAATTTATGTGTTAAGGAGACGGTTGTTCACTTACACAGCGACACAAACATTTCTTCATCAGTCAGTCAACTACAATGTAGGACCAGGCACATATATGCATCGGTCCAAGTTGCCATACCTCATTAGCACAGTAAGATGAACACCGGATTCATAGAAGCAGTTAATTCAATGACGCTAATATATAAAAGAAAGATTGCATATAAGGATATAGTACAGAAAGAAAGACATAAAACAATTTTAATTTCACGGTTTAAGGGAAGACAAAGAGTGTATACACCTACACCTAGCCGTCATGCAGAGTCTCCAAGCATTTTCTAAGATAGTCACAAGGACCCCGACCAAGTAATCTGCATCTTCCAACATGGTTCAGACCAGAAGTTGGTGATTATGGACTGATGCCACGTTTTGGTTTGACCACCCCTAACACTAATCAGCATTGAGCGTCGTGGTAATCGGTGTTCAGGCATACCTAACACGTGGCCCAACTATCTCAGTCGATGAAGATTCACAACCTCATCAACCGATTTACCATCATCATTCCCTAATACCCTGTGTCTAACCTTACTATTACATACCCGGTGATCCCAATAGACCCTGGCAATATTTCTAAGGCATCTGTGATCAAATACTAGTAATTCAAGAGTATCTCCTACACTTAATGGACACGTTTCGCAGCCTTAAAGTAAAACATAACGAACTGCAGCACAATATACTTGTTCTTTTATTGATAGACAGATATCTCACCTTCGTCATAGGTGACGTAAATAGGCAAAAATTAAACAAGCTTTCTGAATCTGTGCAGAAATTTCTTCAATATATCACAAAAAATTATTTAACACCTTTCAACTAATTATATTATTACATCCTTTTTTATTTCGATTACCTTCGATATTAATAATCTTATTTGAACTAAATGAACTTCCACAGATTGAAATCATGAGTCAATTGAAGCTAGACCACCATGGAAAACCTGGAAACACTGGACGGCCGTTTTGTCCTACTGTAGGACTCCTCAGAAGTGCACATCCACGATCCCGCACCCCGCGAGATTCATACCCATGACCTATCAGTCTCGCGCCAAGCGCTTAACCAACTAGACCACTGAGCCGGCCGGTATCCAATGGTTTTAATGTCTAACTTCAACCAATCCACGAAGTTGCGCTACCGTATACGATTGTCTTCAATGAGCAGATATCTCACAACAGACCTGGTTCAACTCCACTGGTAACGGCTTCTCACTAGAACTCCAGGAGTATCTTTTGAAGTCAAACACTAGTAAGCAGATGATTATTATCAGAAGGTTTATAGAGATTTCAGAAATTTCACAGATTGAAATCATGAGTCAATTGGAGCTAGGCCACTATGGAAAACCTGGAAGCACTGGATGAGCACTGCTGAGGAGTCCTACACTAGGATGAAACGGCTGCCCAGTGCTTCCAGGTTTTCCATGGTGGTCTAGCTTCAATTGACTCATGATTTCAACCAGTGAAATTTGTAAAATCTTCACAAACCCCTTCTGATAAATGAACTTTGTTTATTCTTACTTATAATTATTGTTCTTCATTACGTAACTACTTGTGTTTTTTTATATTAATATTATTAACGTTGTAGAATGGTTTTTTATCACATAGATACAGATATATAATATCTGAGCAAAAAAAAATCTTCCCAACCATCTTACGATACTTTATTTAATCTATTAAATTGATTTATGTATTACTCTATTGATGATATGTGATCATAAAAGTTTTCAAATGAACCCATTTGTATCATTAATTTTAATCCATTTTATAAGTATGATCTTTTCTTAAATAATACAAGTTGTAAGTAGCTGATGAAAATTAAACAAAATCAAATGAATTTATGTTATTCTGCTTAAATCTTAGTTCTTACTTTCTTTGATAAATATACAATGTGTGAATACTCTTATTTTGATTATTCCTGGTAGAATCAGTATGTTTAGATACTAAGCACAGTTACTCTACAGGAATTACATTCGTGAGTATTATTCTTTTAACTTTTTACGTCTTTATCCATTTGTAACTCATTGAAGTTAGACTTACACCCGAATGCCCTGGTATGGCCGAAGGTGGAGAGAGTCAGCTCAACCTCTCGAAATGCTTTCACATGGCCACGCGTATACAGCTACTCAAAGGGAAGTCCTACTCAGTGCCTTCTCGAGCCAAGGGTGTTGTTTCAGAAATTGATAGGGCGGAAAGCGAATATTCGACACTTTAACAATGTTGGTGGACACGGAAGGTCCACCTAGAGGAGCTGAAAAACCTTGATTCCAAACCAGTGGTGCATATGGGCTCCAGGATCCTGAGGGAACAAGTGGCGTATAAACCAATTGTCGGTCAGTGGCTACCATGGAACTACACGTCCTGACGTTGCTCCACTGACTTGTGGATCAGGCCTATAGGTGCAAGTTTCCGGGTGTGACCCCTAATAAAAACCATCTGCTTCGGTCTGCGCACCTGGGCAGTATTACAGCCCACACAAAAATCAAGTGACTTGTGTGGCGCATATGTATTCGGTGCCCCTTTGTACCAATATTTATGTGTTCAAATAAATAATAATAAATACACCACTGGACTCCAGCTCTGTAGTGTATAGGTTAAGTGTTCGTGCGTAAAACCGAACGTCCTGGACTCGATTCTCAGTTGCAAGGTTGTGGACGCGCAGTGCTGAGTAGTCTTATACTAGAATAAAACAGCCGTTCAGTGTTTCCAGTGGTTTTCTAACTTAGATCGGTTCATGATTTCAATAAGATTCAACAATCTTTACAATTCCATATTGACAATAGAATTCCATTTGATCCGACAAAGAAATAAGGACAAGACAATCTATATGTTTTCGAAAGAATAGAGAGTATATAAACGTTTAAATATAAGTCATATGAAGAACATCTATGTTGTATACAATCAACTGATGAGTGTTTATGAGGATTAACTTACATGAAGAGGATTAAATACTTGTCTAAAATAATTCCCTATCATTTATAACAATTAAGAGTAAAACTGTATGAGACTTATCTACCTATTTATTTAAACACATAAATATTGGTATAAAATGGCACCAAAATATGTAAGCATTACGTGATAATTAAATTAGACTGTAAAACGATAAAAGAAAAGCGAGTATAGTAAATGCTTTTTTAAATAAAATATGTGGATAAAAATAAATGAATCAGACTAATGATAATAATATAAATGGAAAAAGCAGTTCAGTTAGGAAAAATACAACCACAGGTTACTATCACCTATATGAATTGAAGAAAAATCACAGCACGACCACCACTGACTATCTCTGACATTTCAAGCCACTATGTTGCACTGAAAGCTTATGGCGAACTGTCATCAGAATTGATTACCTCAAGTGGTGTTCGTCAAGGCTGCCCACTCTCTCCATTCTTGATCAACTTTGTCGTCGACGTACTTTTAGAGATAACACTTTCCTCGTCTAGATTTCCAGGGGTTGAACTCCTACCGGGAGGTTCACTTGTTGACTTGGAATATGCCGATGACATAGTTCTATTCGGTGAAGACACTGACAAAATGTGGAGTCTTCTGACCACTCTAAGCAACAATGCAAGCATGTTCGGGATGCGATCCTTCCCCTCGAAATGCAAAATGTTGCTTCAGGATTGGGTTGCATTAACACCCGAATTAATGATAGGGAGCGAAGTCGTTGAGCGTGTCGACCGTTTCACTTATCTTGGAAGTCTCATCAGCCCTTGTGGTCTGGCGTGTGACGAAATCTCAGCACGGATACAGAAGGCTCGACTAGCATTTGCCAACTTGCGTCATTTATGGCGTAGGAGAGATATCCGTCTATCAATCAAAAGACGGGTTTACTGCGCAGCAGTTCGTTCCGTCCAACTTCATGGCAGTGAAACATGGCCGGGAAGAGTAGAGGATATTCGTAGGTTACTAGTATTTGATCATAGGTGTCTTCGAAACATTACTCGTATATCCTGGGACCATCGAGTAAGTAACACAGTTGTTAGGAAACAGGTACTAGGTAAGGATGACAAATCAATTGATGACGTAGTGAAACTTGATCAGTTGAGATGGCTGGGACACGTGTTACGTATGCCCAACCACCGACTACCTCGACGTGCGATGTTCAGTGGTATAGGAGTAGGTTGGAAGAAAGCTAGGGGCGGCCAGACCAAAACATGGCACAAGTCCATGAAGTCACTGACAAGTAGACTGAATCATGTTGGTAGGTGTAGACTACCTGGTTGGGGACCGCAAGATGATAGCAACCGATGGTTAGAGACCCTGAATGACATGGCTCAAAATCGTTTGCAATGGCGCAGGTGCATCCACTCTTTGTGTTCTCTCAAATTCTAATCTTCCAAATTCTTCATGTCCCTTTATTTTCTTCTCTCTTCAAATTTATTTCACTGGATTATACTCCTTGAATAACATCTTCAAGCCCTAGTGTTTCCGATTACTGCTTATACTCTTACCGCCTCTACCACTACGGGATTTGAATCGACCACTGCATCTCTGTGCTAATGTGGTGTGGCAACTCGAACTGATGTACGTACGTACGAAATTCTACGTTGTTACTGACTGACTGACTGTTGCACTGTATCTAGAATCCCGGTGGCGGAGTCGTGAAGAATAGGCAGATGCTAGTTCTTTACAGCTTTCTTTTATATCACAACGCTGACCACCTATGATAATTAGAAGTACTCGAGTTAACGTACTAACTAGGAATTCCCGAAATAGTGCGGTTTACAGCAAGTAGGGCTAGATGAGCACAAATGAATGTATTATATTTAGAATTCGTAATCAGCGGGCCATCAAGTACAAAGGAATCATTAATTCGTACAAATACCACACCACCTCTCCGCTTTTCCAACTAGTCAACGTCGGTAAATAATCTACTATGTGCGACTCACTGGAACGACATTCGTAGTACATGTCCAAGCCACCAAAGCCGATGTTTCAAGGCAGTGACACTGCGAAGATGTTAATCAAAGAAAACGCTTTTGATCGCTGATGATGCATTCATAAACAACTATTACAAGTATGAGATAACTTTGTGAAGAGTTAATCTTCCTAACTATTTGAACGATTCATAAGATATTAGTGACCGGTTGTGAATAGTGCTGACAAGTAATACTTCAAAATAAAGGAAGCCATAAATATTTCTAAATCATCTTATTTTTAGTGTCTCCCTATTAATATTCACAAGCGACTATTGTTAGAGTCCCATCAGCTAAATAATAAACCACCATCGACGTAGGACCTAGTCTGAATGTGCCACTATTTCGAATTAGCGCATATCACATCCCATGGGCACAATCAATTAATCATGCGAAAGATAGAACCTGGCAGGTCAGTACACATAAAAGTAACAAAATTCGAAGCAAAGGAAATGCAATCTACACAAAAGAAATACACAGTCCAAGAGGAACAGATGAGAGATTGAAAGATGGGAAGTTAATTATAACACTTAGCTGGAGATTTGAAAGATAGTGAATAAATGAAAATGTGCCACTTCTATCAGTTTCGTGATATGACACCTGTGAATTTCATTCAACACAAATTATTTTGAAAAAGGACAATTTTGTACTGTTTTAATACAAAAACTATACTGACTCGCATCTACATAAACGATGATTACGATGAACATACACACACACAAACAAAACAACATACCATATTTTGATATAATCTCAGTAGCAGCATACTCTGATTTTTCAGAAGGCTGTAAAGTAATACAAAACACTGTTAACACAAATAATTTATACCATAGACAAGCTACATATATTATGATATTACAGCACCAGCCAACAAATATGAAATGATAGCAGTGAGAATTATTAATTAAAGAATTATTAGTTTAACACTGAGATGGATACTGTGTGAACACCTAAATAAGCAAGACTAACATGTAGCATATACTACCAAAGTATTCGCTACTTAAAAGCACGATTCGCTATATTGGCTAATACAAGAATATGTAAAAAGGCTAAAGGTGGTTAGACTAAAGCATGAAGCAACGGACTATTGCTTCAACCTATATTATTAATTACGAATCCTTTAATTAGAATTTGAGAAATATCTGCTAGTCTAAAGTTGAAAACTTTTGGTTCATAGTTTTAAACTTGTCATTTACAAGATGTTATTGGATCTAATGATAGATGTTATAGTCAACAAATAGTACTGTAGAAACGGAAAATTATGACTCAAAATAGCTAAAGTAAGAGTGCTCTAAAATATGAGCGTCAGAATCAGACAAGGAACATCTTTATACAGGAAACGAAAGGAATAAAAGTGTGATGTTCCAGTGACTTCAAGTACAATTTTAAGCCATTTGTCTCTTCTTTGCAACTCCAACCATAGTAATTAGCTATTGAGTTTAGTATGCTTATGAATTTTTGCGTGAGAAAAATGTTATGATAAGTTACAGATGGACTAATGTTTGGGAACCGATCACAAAAGAATGATAGCGGTGTAAGTCACTACGATTATCTGGGAAAAATTGTAAAACAGTCTTAGAATAATAACAAAGCGTAGGACAATAATCGCTACAATTCTCCAATGTGATTTTTTGATGAGGCTAAAACGATGTCCAGTGGATGCCAGTCATAATAAAAGTTTATCAACCTGGAATAACCATAATGTCTTTAAGCTAATTTACCGTAATTTGGGGCTAGCTCTCTAATAGTATCACATACCAGTAATATTTAGGCAGTAATATGTTTCCTAGATTTGATCAAATGTCAGAATTCTTTGGTGAAAAATCATCTAGTCAGGTATTTTTATTAAGATTTAAAACGACGAATTTTGCGAAAGTGCAGAGATAACCGTTATTTACATCGAGTTGTAGCAAAACCACTGAAAGAGATGAAAGCTAGGCATTAACTTCAAGATATTAGTGAAATTCGGTGAGAATCATGGTGCCTAACAGGATTCCGTGTTTACATCCCGAAAAATCGGATATTGGTCAAGTGAAAATGATTTAACAAATGACCACTTAACCAAGTTGGAGTCGGCACTTAACTATAGGCCCTTGCAAGGTTGAGGGTGGGAAGTCAGCTTTACCTCTCCAAATGCTCTCATATGGCCACACGTACACGAAATTGAAAGGACGAAAAGCGAATGTCCGGTGCTTTAATCGAGTGGGTGGATACGGAGGATTCCTCTAGGGGAGTTGGAAAACCCTGATTCCAAACCATGGGCGCATATGAGCTCCAGGACCATGGAAGACTAAATGGTGTATGAACCTATTGTTGGTCACCAGCTACCATGGAACTGCATCTCCTGACGTTGCTTCACTTTTCTTATGGATTAGACCTCTTATTAAAAGGCTTGAGGAGTGGCTTCAAGAAAATCAACTGGGTCGGTTTTGGGCACCCGAACAGTATCCCAGACGACACAAATACCATGATTTGTGTGACACATACGTATTTTATTACACTTTTGTACCAGTGTCTAAATAAGCAAATAAAATATATTTTCCTGCAGTAAACCATATTTTAAACACTTTTAGTTCATATTAGACACTAATGAGATTATGATATTAATAGATATAAGCCTATTCAGTGGTTGACAAAGTTCTTACTATAAACCCGCATAAACACAAAAATGTCTGGCTGAAACCCACATCTGTAAATTCATCTACAGGAATTTTGTAACTCACAAGGTATGCTGACAGTAACTCCGCTATTTCAGAACGTGATTCTGACGAACCATGAGAAACATTTAATATGCCACAAATATATTCACCAACAACCTCAGCATCAATATCCTTTGACAAATCTGTGAGGAAAGTAGCAACCCAATCAAATTGTAATTCATTTGAAGACATACAGCATGCGGATAGATTACTTGTAACAGTGGTAAATACCAATATTTAAAAGTTAGAAGTTCGACAGAGTATTACGGTCTAAAAAATAAGAAACAGAAGTAACAATGCAAATCAATGGTTAGCTGATATACAAGATTGTAGCAAGCTATTAAGGTAGTATATTTGTTTTGAGTGACTGACTCCTACTTGAGAAAATACTCATCCGTCTGGTCTGAAGGTTTTATTTCACTGAAGGCGACAAACAACTGGAAGGAGCTGCACAGTGCACAAGATGTGAGGTAAAACAAATGTCAATAAGAACTCATCCTTTTGAACATTAAATGTAGATGACCAGTTACCTACAGGTCGTGGATAGAAGCTTCGATAAATAATAGGGGAAAACTGTTATGGCTTTGGAAACAAGCCCCGTGTGGTGGACCAGACAGGTCTATCTCCACACCCGAAGCAATTTGATGAGACGTACAAATTCCTATCAATGGAGAAGTATGTTAGATGAGCCGTCTACTGGTAGTACTTGAAAAGACATAAAACATGTACCTGCTACTCAGCAAGCAGTCAACACGAATGCGTTCTAAACAGGTAAAATATTATGTTATGTTTTTCTAATAATAATCATTAGATCTCTTAAATGTGCGTGCCTATTATCGTGAGAACAATGTTACATAAGGAGTGAGACAATATTTTACTGAAATTCTGAATAAGTCATATATTACCGAGTATGTGTAAGTACGAATTTACACCTGATCGGAGAACTATTATTGGTTGAGAGAGCGCGGGAACTGTATGTTTGAACCGGCTGTGTCGAAACACGTGTTAGAGTTTATTTGGAAACAGGAGAGATCTAAAACAACAGCATACAAATCAGGGTCAGTGAACGTCTGTGAGGAGGTGCAATAACACGATGTGCTAGCACAAACTATATATTTTCCCAGAATGGTGTTTGCGGTGATTGTATAGTCGTAACAGTTGAATATATTTCAAAAACCGCGTAACGTGGTTCGGCTGCAAAAAGAAACGCTTATATACAAAATAGTTCCATCCATCATTTTGCAAGTCCAGGTTACTCAGAACTTGTTCCTCTAGCAGTGCGTTAACCCTTTGTTACCCTTCAATAAGGAAAACAGATTCATATTAATATCGTTTTTATTTACTGTTGCACTACTACCTCACTCCTTGAGACACCGTCTCAAATGCTTAGTGGTGGACATGTGTATACCGTACCTTTTTCTGATGATAGTTCCTAATAGCTGGTGGCGGGCGAGTGTTAAAACAGTAGGTATCTAAAATGACCGTCGTTCTGTTTGGCTTCAACTGCTTATAGTGTATTGTTACAACGTCACCTTGTGGTCGCTGAAGGTTACGTTGCACAAAAGTAGTGGGAGACTAAGCAAACACTATTTCGTAGGGACCTTGCCAAGAATGGTGGAACTTGCTGCATGTTACTGGTGGAGCCACATGGCAATGTAGCCGAACTCGATCTTCAGATCTATACACTGGCCCGTTAACTTGTCAGTCGTATGCGTCCCTTTGGTGTTTGTTGACATTCTCTAGACTGCTTTCGAACAGGCGATGCGCGTCAGATAGATGGCTAAGAAGATTGAGAATTTATGGTACGTGCTCCTGAGACTCACGTGGTAACAGCGATATATGTATCTGAACAGGACGATGTAATTTATGCCCAGAAAGTAAAGTAGCAGGTGAGGATCCTATGCACCCATGCACTGATGCACTATATTCTAAGAGACATTGAGGTATCTCATCATCCCGATATTCAGTCGACGATATCTGGCATACCTGAGCGATGAGATGACCTTATAAAGCTACACCTTGGTCAGAATGGAGTAAGAATGGAGCGTCATAACGAGAAACCCAATGATCAAGTGAAGCTCGTAGAACCGTGAGGGCATCTTGTCGTGGAATGGAAACGGCTTCATACCATTTGCTAAAACAGTCTACATCATCAGTATGTAGTGGTTTCCGCTCTTCGTTGTTGTAAGCGGCATCATAATATCAATGCCAACTCGCTGATGTGGCCCTTCTGTTATCATTGAGGTTAACAGTGCACGGAGTATTTGTTAGGAAGCTTTATGGTGTGACACGCTATGATTTTTGCAAAATTCAGTTCTATCTTTATGGATGAATGGCAACTAAATCTCTGGCGAATTACATGTTGGGTCTTTCGTTTTTCCGAGTGGCGAAGATCCCAATGCACATGCTTCATAATATTCCGGAATTTTACACGACACTGTAAACAGGGGTTGTTTCAACTCATTGACCAGAAATAACATGTCACCACATAAATGGTAGCATAAGGATGACGTATACGGGGTAGAGGATCTGCATTTATATGTCGCCTTCGAGGTCAGTGACCGCACGTAAAACCGAACTATTTCAACCTCTTCTTCAATCAGGCCACTTGACCTTCTGGCTTGCGAAACAAACGAAGCAACTGAGGTGCACGATGGTCTGTTTCTTCACGCAAAGAGCGTTCCAGGAGATGGCAAAAAAATGATGCAGAAATGTTACCAGTGTCAGGATCCCTCAGCACATTGTAGGATATCTCGTTTCCCTCTTGTCTAACCACCAACTAGTATACACGAAGGCCCGCTCATGTCCATCTTGTACTATTTGAGACAGGACTTCCCCGATAGCACGCGAGCTAACGTTCGTGTCAAGTTTAGACTCACACATATTGGACGAAATGTCCGGAAAAGCTAGTATGTGTCGGGTAGTAAGGCATGACTTCAAAGTTTTAAATACCTATCGACAGTCTATGGTGAACAAATACTTTCGTCCTTATACGTCAGGAGATGTGAAGGTGCTGTCGAAGATGCGAAACTCTGTACAAAACGTCGATAGTTGGAAAAGAGTCCTAGATCTTGGCGAACTGCCCTAAAGTTGGTATTATGCTGTACAGAAGCGCCACCATACACATTAATATCATCAACGTATTTTAAGCACTTGTGTGGTACCAGGTCGTGCAAAACCGTTCGCAATAATCTCTGGAAGGCTGCTGGGGGGCTAATTGATCCAGAGGTAACGCTTTAAATTCATAGAGCACATTCGGAACGACAAATGCAGTTTTCTTTCTGTCCTGAGATCGTTTTCCTGCTTGTCAACGCCCGGATGATAGATCAAAGTCGAGATCCAACAAGCGCCTTTCATGATGTCTAACGCAGCATCAATCTGAGGAAGCGCAACTGGGTCACATTTCGTTATGGCATTAAGACGACGGTAACCTGCACATAATTGAATGAAGGAATCTTTTTTTACTGAAACGATGAACGAAGCCCAGGGTGATGACGGAGCTACAATAATCTTCTTTTCTAACATCTCTTTTGTCATCGAGTCAAGCTGTGGCTGGTAATGTACTAACACTGCAAGGTGGTTGGAGTGGTGGAATGTGGTCACCTGTTTTAGTAAAGTGCTAAATATTATTCGTTCGGTTTTCAGAGACGTTCTCCCTGAAAACAGGGATAAATTGTCGGATTAGAGAAACAGTTGACAGACGAGAGCTTGTAGAATTATGGTCTACTATGATATTAGTACTGCTCTTATAATAGACCTAATCTTAAATTTGTAGATTTGTCATGATGTAACTGCCTAACCTATAAGATCTTACGTGGGAGTCACACCATCGACTACACCAACTCACTGTATCGTATCAATTATCAATACATGATGAGGAACAAGGTTAGGCTAGAGAAAGAACAATATATTTAATATGAATAGAAGATATACGGTAACATTCAGCAGAGACCACGCCTGCATGGCCGAGCCATGCCACTCGATCAACTCCAGTCCATCCAATTCATTGTTCGCGCCTTCTCCATTGTTAGGTATTTCTCCGCGTTAAATATTGAATATCTATTTTCTGAGTAGTCTCGTGTTCACAGCTTTGTGGATTGTGTGGCTATTGTCCAATGCCACTACACTACTCTCCCACCAGAATCAACGTGATGTTGGTTCGATACCAAATTGGATGGGATCGTCGCGCGCCGGAGGTTACCAAGGATAATAAGAATCCTTCGGGTATTGGTAAGCTGAAAGATAAATCAAAAAGAAGGCGGCAGCATCTGGTCGGGAAATACATGTAATAATTTTAAAATATCTGCCTTCATGCTTAACATGCTTGAAATGAAAATTTGGGTGAAGATTATTTGAGCTATAAAAAATGGGATTACAATAATAATAATAAAACGATGCGTGTTAATAACCGTTGGTTAATAACTTAACGTATTGGTAGTAAGTATTTTGTGTTTAGAAATATTAAAGTAATGAATATTGTAGAAATGTTAATATTGGTATTAGTTTTGGTTTAAATTATGAAATCAAATAACGATTATGCCGGTAAGTTGTCCATATGAGTTGAATTCCAATTGCATCTGTATTAGTAGGCTAACTGAAGGAACGAAAGTATACCGTGGAGAAGAATTCCAACTAGTGTTCCAGTTAGTTTGATACGGTTTATTTAGTTACGGGGAGATTTTCTCAACCTCATTTTTACTTGACCGTGATAGAATTTAGTAATACTACTAATACACATGAATGTTTATCAAAACAAAATTTAAATACGTGAGTGATGATTATATGAATTTTGAACAGATAGCTAGGAACAAATCGTTAAACATGAGTGTATTCGTAAGAGACATGCTCTGGACTCAATGTTCTGATCTGCAATAGACTATTTATTTATATTTATACTTGCTGGCTGATTGGGCATACAAGTTAGTTGCAAGTATGCAGTTTATCATAAGGCGGAATACGATTTAATTGAGATATAGTGGTTATAAGTTATTAAAATCAGTTAGGCCTGTGTCATATTACGAAGTGATGTGGTATTGCAAGATGTATTTAGCTAAATAAGTTTTTACAAGATGATTAATGGTGAGTGATGCTCATGTGATTATCAGGGAGAACATAAGTTGTAACCAGGGGGAGTACACTCCTAACTCATGTCTATGATAATGGCTTGAACCTTAGTCAGTGTTGGGGTAAATTCGACATTGATGTTTTCAGTTTACAGGTTTGCTCGACTGCTTATACTGATTATTTGCATGCATGATTGTGTCGCTAAACCACCAATTAGACTGACAAGGTTTTGAGATATTTACTGAATGAGCAACTGATAGAGAAACATACTGTAATCATCTGTAGTGAATGAAGATAAAAGAAAAACAACACTAGTGATAATTGTAAGTCAATTTGCTGACCGATTTTGTTAATAGTTTCATTAATTTTATCAATCATATTACGTGATTGTCAAGTCATGACAATGCTTTATGACGATATACTGAAACTATGGAATTTAACTAGTTATAGTGTTGATTGAGGATTAGTCAGTAGAAAAATAGGTATTGTTGCTTTAGGTGATTCGAAATTATCAGAAATTTAAAACGTTAAAGAATCCGAGACGTCTAATTTAATTATAAATTTCAATTCAGAAAGATTCGTTTAGTGTTAATTCTAGTAGGCTACGGAGTCTTGATTTTAAACGTTTGTTTAGCCAACAGCTACCTAGGGATTTAGTTATTTTACTGGTGCAGTTGATAGTACCTAAATTTTTAATCTTATTATCTAAACTATGTTCGCATTTAAGGCTGCTAATATGATAAACCAATCCATAAACCCAAATACGAATAGCAACAACGACTATGATGGGTTTATTGATAAATGTTAAAGGCGATTCAGATTATTTCTAAATTTAGAAGACATGGAGATATAGTGTAACGTATGTATGGGCCAGGTTAACATGCAGGTTGTTGACGTATATGACAATTTAAAAATAATGAACATGACCAAAAAATAATTTTAAAGTTAAGACTGCTTATGAAACTTCAGGCAGGAATATGACGCGTTATAAACATTACATAAGAAGTTAGTGCACTTAGCCTAGGGTCACTTACAAATATGTGGTAAAAGCAACAGGAAAGGATATACATGTTAGGTACAAAAAAATCATCCAGTAAAATGGTTGAACTCGCCTGGATTATTTTTGAAAATTGGATTATTCAGTGGACGACATATATAACGCCATTCGTGAGTAGTAATGATCCAAAAGCATCCAGAATAAAACATGCAGTATGGCAATCACTTCCAGGGTGCTTGATGCTGTTGAGGTTTTTGGGACTCGCTCTGATCAG